TTCAATGTTTTGATGCAGATTTAACGAGAATTAATCCACAATTCGTTAAAGGTATGCCTTTTTAGAATCGGATGAGTATTGGCCAAGATATAGCCATCGCAAGGGCCATATTTTGGTATCTTATGATTTTCCCCATTTCTTTAGGGTGTCCATCAGAAAAATTTGAAAAAATGGGATCCAAAATTTTGTTTCAAGATTTTGATGCAGATTTAAAGAGAATTAATCCACAATTCGTTAAAGGTATCCCGTTTTAGAATCGGATGAGTATTGGTCAAGATATAGCCTTCGCAAGGGCCATATTTTGGTATCTTATGATTTTCCCCATTTCTTTAGGGTGTCCATCAGAAAAATTTGAAAAAAATGGGATCCAAAATTTTGTTTCAAGATTTGGAAGCAGATTTAAAGAGAATTAATCCACAATTCGTTAAAGGTATCCCGTTTTAGAATCGGATGAGTATTGGTCAAGATATAGCCTTCGCAAGGGCCATATTTTGGTATCTTATGATTTTCCCCATTTCTTTAGGGTGTCCATCAGAAAAATTTGAAAAAATGGGATCGAATATTTTGTTTCAATGTTTTGATGCAGATTTAACGAGAATTAATTCACAATTCGTTAAAAGTATGCCGCTTTAGAATCGGATGAGTATTGGTCAAGATATAGCCATCGCAAGGGCCATATTTTGGTATCTTATGATTTTCCCCATTTCTTTAGGGTGTCCATCAGAAAAATTTGAAAAAATGGGATCCAAAATTTTGTTTCAAGATTTTGATGCAGATTTAAAGAGAATTAATCCACAATTCGTTAAAGGTATGCCTTTTTAGAATCGGATGAGTATTGGCCAAGATATAGCCATCGCAAGGGCCATATTTTGGTATCTTATGATTTTCCCCATTTCTTTAGGGTGTCCATCAGAAAAATTTGAAAAAATGGGATCCAAAATTTTGTTTCAAGATTTTGATGCAGATTTAAAGAGAATTAATCCACAATTCGTTAAAGGTATCCCGTTTTTGAATCGGATCAATATTGGCCAAGATATAGCCATCGCAAGGGCCATATTTTGGTATCTTATGATTTTCCCCATTTCTTTAGGGTGTCCATCAGAAAAATTTGAAAAAAATGGGATCCAAAATTTTGTTTCAAGATTTGGAAGCAGATTTAAAGAGAATTAATCCACAATTCGTTAAAGGTATCCCGTTTTAGAATCGGATGAGTATTGGTCAAGATATAGCCTTCGCAAGGGCCATATTTTGGTATCTTATGATTTTCCCCGTTTCTTTAGGGTGTCCATCAGAAAAATTTGAAAAAATGGGATCGAATATTTTGTTTCAATGTTTTGATGCAGATTTAACGAGAATTAATTCACAATTCGTTAAAAGTATGCCGCTTTAGAATCGGATGAGTATTGGCCAAGATATAGCCATCGCAAGGGCCATATTTTGGTATCTTATGATTTTCCCCATTTCTTTAGGGTGTCCATCAGAAAAATTTGAAAAAATGGGATCGAATATTTTGTTTCAATGTTTTGATGCAGATTTAACGAGAATTAATTCACAATTCGTTAAAAGTATGCCGCTTTAGAATCGGATAAGTATTGGCCAAGATATAGCCTTCGCAAGGGCCATATTTTGGTATCTTATGATTTTCCCCATTTCTTTAGGGTGTCCATCAGAAAAATTTGAAAAAATGGGATCCAAAATTTTGTTTCAAGATTTTGATGCAGATTTAAAGAGAATTAATCCACAATTCGTTAAAGGTATCCCGTTTTAGAATCGGATGAGTATTGGCCAAGATATAGCCATCGCAAGGGCCATATTTTGGTATCTTATGATTTTCCCCATTTCTTTAGGGTGTCCATCAGAAAAATTTGAAAAAATGGGATCCAAAATTTTGTTTCAAGGTTTTGATGCAGATTTAAAGAGAATTAATCCACAATTCGTTAAAGGCATGCCGCTTTGGAATCGGATAAGTATTGGCCAAGATATAGCCTTCGCAAGGGCCATATTTTGGTATCTTATGATTTTCCCCATTTCTTTAGGGTGTCCATCAGAAAAATTTGAAAAAATGGGATCCAAAATTTTGTTTCAAGATTTTGATGCAGATTTAAAGAGAATTAATCCACAATTCGTTAAAGGTATCCCGTTTTAGAATCGGATGAGTATTGGCCAAGATATAGCCATCGCAAGGGCCATATTTTGGTATCTTATGATTTTCCCCATTTCTTATGGGTGTCCATCAGAAAAATTTGAAAAAATGGGATCCAAAATTTTGTTTCAAGATTTTAATGCAGATTTAAAGAGAATTAATCCACATTTTAATAAAGGTATGCCGTTTTAGAATCGGATGAGTATTGGCCAAGATATAGCCTTCGCAAGGGCCAAATTTGAGAATTTTTATTTCAAAACCTTAGTTATTTTATCTATTTGTTTTTCAATATCTAACTTTATAAAATCCATGCTTATTTTAAGAATGCAAATCGTTTCTCGATTCCCACCGAAAAGAAACAAGTTTATTGAAACTTTCCTCTATACTGGCAATCTTCCTGCAAAATAACAAAACACAGCAAATATTTGGCCAAATCTGTAAACAATTAGAGAATTGCATTTGGTAACGAGAAGGAATTGTGGCAAGCCAGGCAGTCAGGCAGACAGGCAGCCAGGGAGCGGGGAGTCAGGGAGCTGGGGAGGGCTCTTGGCCAGGTTTACAATACATTTTAATAAAGTCAAAAAGGCGCCAGGCGCCAGGCACAGGCATCAGGCACCAAGCGCCCCTCAACGACAAAATAGCCGCAGGGTTAATACGGGCACTGCCCGGAGAAATGGAAAGAGACAGGACACGGATGTGACTAGTATGTAGATGTGTGTAAGAAAGAGACGGTAATAAAAAGAAAGTCGAGGGTGTTTCAATCTAGATGTGAGTGTGTGTGTGTATGTGTGTGCCAGGTGAGCCCGAGGGGGAACATAATAAAAATATGAAAATCAAGTGAAATCATTTCCATTCAAATTCAAATGGCAAACCGGAACAGTGATGAAGATGGCAGGGAAGGGAACAGCAGCAGAAGAAAGTGGCATGTGGTGGCACGGGGTACCACGGGGTGCCACAGGGCGGCAAGGTTGCTCTTCAGGTGCTGTGGCAGCTGAAAACTGATATTCAATTCAATCAGTTCTGCCCCAGACCTCGGGGAAGTGACTGAAACTGAACGGGCAGAAAAAATTTACCAAATAATTTTTTAAATAAATATTTTTTATATATATTATTTTATATAAACCCCTCTATAACTTCTTTAAAAAATAGTCCTATTTAAACCATATATTTTTTATAAATAAAATTTCTCTTAGTGTACTTTGAAAAGAAAAACAGAAAACTCAATTCTGAGAAGGAGAATGCCACCGACTTCTGAATGTGGTTAGTCCTTAATACTGGGAATACGTGCAATGGCTGGAACTGATTCTGATTGAGAATCCGTCCGAGCTTCGATTGATGACAAGGACATGCCGTAGCCGTTGCCGTTGCCGGAGTCGTGCCACAAAAAATCCGGTCAGAAGGTATACTTCTTCTCTCTCCCCCTATATACATATATGCCTATTTATTTTATTGGGAAACTGCGGCGAGACTTTGGCCTTCACCTGCACTTTACCACCTGTTTATATACCCAACCACCCCCACCTTTCATCTGTATCCAACTCCTCGTTTCATATCCTTCTCCCCCGTCCTGTCTAGATCCTGGCAAGTTTGCGCCTCCATTCACTTTAACAATAAATTTCAGCAAATAAATCAAAATGTAACAGAAGCCGTGTGGAATTTTCAAGTGGCAGGTGCCTCCACAAAAAAAAACACACACCCACCACCCATTCACTCCCCTTCAAAGCCAGCAAAAGTTTTAGATTTTTTTCCAAAAAAAAATATATAAAAAATTATTTACCAAGGCCTGGAAATGGGAAAAAATGAGAATCGTAGGAGGATTTAAAACAAGGACGTATGTATATTGATTCCTAAACTCATCATATAAATATTTCAGAAATTTTAAATTATCAATTGAGGAAAATTTTATATTGTATAAATTTGTATACAAAATAATTAGCTTTATTCTTAAGCAATTTAAAAATTAGATATTTAAAATAATAAAAGCACAAAACGAAGACCAAATTGGAATATTTAGCTAGGAAGTTGTAGGAATGGTTTAGGATCTATGGTCTTTAGAAAGAAACTTTATCTTAAGGTAAATCAGAAAGTTTATTTTCGAGGATATCTATTCCTCTTTTTTTCAAACTTTTATTTAAAAAAAAAAATCAAGGATCAAGGGTGAGGGCAAGGATGGAACGAAGGTGGAATGGTGGCAAGCAAATGATGTTAAATCGCACGGAAAGTCACAGCGTGAATCCTGTCCAGCTGCTGGAGCTGGGAGTTGCTTCATCTTGGGAGTCGCTGCCTCATTGTCATTGCCACCGAGTCTGTCACCCAAAACAAAAAAAAAAAAGGACACAAACACCAGTACCCCCCAAACTAACCACCCACCTCCCTCAGCCCAACCTCCTCCACCTCCTCGTCCTTGGCTCATTATAAACGGCGGCCACTGTTGCATGGGCAGCGACGCCGGCAGCGCTACCTGTTGGAAATGCAAACAACGCACCGCGACGCTGGCAGCGTCCTTCCAATGCCGCCCCAGTGCGCCGACGCTGGAAGCAACTCTCCACAAGGTCGCATGGAGTGGGCGGTGGGTGGTTTGATGGCTGATGGCAAGTGGCATGTGGCATTTGCCAGTTGGCGGCCTTCTAACCGTCATTTCATTCAAAACTTCATCTGGAGACCTAAATATAACGGTCTAGGACGAATTTTTCAAAAATTTCAAAAGCGCCAATTTGAAATAAGAATTTGGCGCCAATTTAAGAAATAATTCAAAACTATCGGTATTATCGGATATATTTGTAGTTTGCTGAAAAAAAAATATTTTTTAAATGCTGTACAAAAAAAATAGACATTATAATTATTTATAATTAAATTATAATAATCATAGTGTCTGCTCTCTATTTAAAATTGGTAAACAAGGCTTATTAAAACCAAAAATCCGGCAGATGTCAAGACTATGGAGCTGGCCCCGGAGGTCGGCGTCGTGGGCACAGCAACGCCCTCTGTCGTCGGCTGCATGTGATCCAGATTGTGGCTACTCGCCAGATCCGTATAGTAGTTGGCCCAAATGGCAAAGGTCAGCAGATCGTTTTGCGGCCGAATCAGATTCAAGCTGACACGGGTTTCCTTGTCCGGATTTTTGGCAGCCGGAGCCGGTGTCTCCTCCCAATCAAACTTGGACACGGCGATGGGCTTGAAGCCGCCATCCAGGGTGCTGGGCATGATGAGGCGACGACCGCGCGGTGCAGCCGGAAAAGTGGCACTGATCTTGATCTCCGTAAAGTGATGTTTATTGGCAACTTGACCGCCAGATGCGGGAAATATGGAGCCACAGCTGAGCAGACTCTCATCCTTGCAGGCAAAAATGGCGCAGACCGCCTGCTCGGAACGATCCACCCGGATAACGGTCGTCTCATCGCCCCAATAGGCGGCAAGGCGATAGCGATAGGTCAAATGGTCCGCCGTAATATCGCCCGGAGTCAGAGCCCGCTTCAACGAGAAATCACAACAGAAAGTGCCGTGGCATAGGTTTTGGGTAACTTCCAGAAAGTCTGCCTCCAACAGTACTGTCTCAAAGATATCCACATTATAGTCCCGATAGGTGTCCACTCCGGTCATCCGTGGAGTGATCAGCTGGGGGGTGAATAGCTCCTCCACCTGGTCGCCCAGTTGCTGGACTCGATCCTTTTTGGGGACACGAGCTGTCATCAATCGCGTCGTCGGCTGGGCGAAGATCTCCGCCTGCAAGCGACCCCATCGTCCGGCATAGATACCGGATCCGGTTGTCTTGCCCGCCGGATCACTGGCATCCGCCGCCAAAAGGTTCACATTATTCCCGAAGGACCAACCCTCCTGCAACTGCAGGGCCGTAAGGAAGGGCAACTCCGAGAACCAAAACGTCGGATAGATAATATCCGTGATGTTAAGATCCCTTACCAGAACCATTGCCGGTTCGTAGAACAGCATATCGAAGCAAATGAAGTGACCGAAGGTGACACCGAAATCCGTAGCAAATGTGGCAACATCCGGTTGCCGGAGCACCGACCTGGAGTCGTATTCGTGGCGCCACAAATGGGTCTTCCGGTAGCGGGAGATCACTCTGCCACTCCGATCGAAGACCACATTTGTGTTGAAATAGCGAATACCCTGCGCCGGACACGGATCAAAGGTATCCGATCCGCTGCCATTGGCGCAAATCTCCTTTTCAATCAAGTTGATCACCACGTAGATTCCTTGGGCACGAGCGGCGCAGGATATCTCGATCAGCAAGAGATCGTAGTCCGTTTGGTAGCAGGGCGTCACATTCTGGCTACCGTGGGGCACAAAGGAGGCAGTCTCCTTGTAATTGGTCACATGCTCCGGGAACACAATAATATCCAAGTCCTTGGCCTCTTCCGAGGCAATAATCCTTTGGAATTCGTTCGAAATGTAAATGGTACGCGACCTGGGCGATGTAATACTAGCCGGTGCCTCCATGTGCTCCACTACACCGGCATAATATGTAGAATCACTGGGCTGAGAACGCTGGATAAAAATAGCAACGAGAGTGGTTAGTAAAATCTTACTATACTAGGCGTATACTTGATATGTACAGAACATTAAGTATACGCCTAGTAAGCCAACAACAAACTACCTGTTGAGAATTGCCCACAAGGGCAATCAGCAAAAGGACAAGAACTTTAAAGGCCATCATGGCTTAGACGTGGCCAAAACCTAACTGCCAAACCATAACGATTTGACCAACCACGAAGACAAAGAAACCCACAAAAATTAAACGAAAATAAAAATTGAAACCGAAATAGCATCTATAAAGCTATAACAGATGAGTTTATGGGACACTGACGTTGCCAATAAATTAGGCATTTGACAGATTAGGAGGCGGCTGATCTGTCTTATCATTCCGCGGATCATAAACCATATTTATCAACTTGGCTATTATGGCTTTCGAAATTATTATATGCACTCTTCCCAGAGTTCAGTGATATTAGATTCGTAAAAGATAATTATACATAAAGGTCTCATAAATTTTTAATTCTTTTAGTTATATAAACAAATATTTAATATATATTAAAGCAATTCATGAAAAAAATCAAATTTATTTTATAACCGGCTTAATTTAAATATCTCAAAGCTTTCGATATACATGTTTTATATCGAGAATAAGCTCGCCAAAGCTTTTGTGCTTTTGGCGCTCGCCAACAGCTGGTCACACTGGGCGGGCGCTGGGGCCAATATTCAGCTGTTTTCGATTCTAAAAAAACAAACAACAACAATCAGAGAGACAACAGCTACGATTCTAATCGCACGCTGTTAACATTTAATTGAGGCTTACCTCGCATACCCAACCGCAGTTATAAATGCTCCGGCACCAAGAGAAGCATTAGCCACAAATGTCGCAGACCAAGGAGACCAATTAACAACAACAACAAAGACTAAAGACTATAAGAAGGCTGTGAAGGTCGCGCCACCAAAGAACAAATGTATTGGAGAGCATTAGAAGGAGAGCTGAGAACAGGGAGAGCGAGCTAATTAAATCGCAGGTTAGTTTTTTTTCATTGTATTATAAGGTGTGTGATTGTGTGTGTGGTTGGAGAGCGTGCTTTAAACAATTTACATAGCCACACAACTGATATAATCAATCTTGTATTATAACGATGACAAACAGAAAACAAAGCGATCGCCAGAAGACTGTAGCTACACGGAGACGGAAAGACAGAAGCGGAGATTCCCATTCTTTAAAAATAAACACACACATCTGATACGAGTGAGGGGTAAGTGATCTATCCGGCCCGCCAATAATTCCCAGTCATAAACCCAAATACCCACAAAACATATATACATATAGCATCTTATCGGAAACGTGCCCGTTTCATTCTAATTTGCTTTCTAACGGTGATCGTGGGTACAAATCACTTTGTGACGTTCACAAGGACGATAGGAATTCGATAACAAGAATATTTAATTATCGATTTGTAGATCATCAAAACTATTAGAGATATATGTTCATATGTATGCATGTGTGTAAACCTTGAAATTATAAAAACTTACTAAAGGTTGTGAAATAAATTTTGGTCTTAAAATAATCAGCATTATCTTTTTCAATTTAATGATAGATACATTTTTAAGTTCAAAAATATAATAAAAAGTTTAAAGAATAATGATTTGTAGATTCTAATCTAATAAAATAATGCTCTTTTTTTAACCTATCTTCAAAGTATAGCTATAATTCCCAAATAGCTTTAACATTTCACAGTTTAAGGTCAAAGATCGTAAGAATTATGAACCTGAAAACCCTAAAACTAATTAAATAAAACCATTAACTACCTTTGCAATTAAAAGCAACATTTATCATAAATTCCATATAAACAAAGTACTAACTTTAAGAGCTAACATTCGGCACACATATTCTGAGCTTTATAAACGTCACACATCTGGGTCATAGAGGTTTTTGGTACAGAGTCTTATTACCTAACAGCTTTATTTTCAGAAAAAAAAAAAACTTGACTAATATTGACATATTCTTTTTTGCTTCCAGACAGTCTGAGCCATGGCCATTAACCTGAAAGCCCTGTTGGGCATGATCTTTGTCTTTGTGGGATGTTGCAGCAACGTTGTGTTCCTAGAACTGATCATCCAGATCGATCCTGGTGCCGGCAATCTGATCACGTTCGCCCAGTTCCTGTTTATCGCACTGGAGGGCCTCGTCTTCACCTCCAAGTTCTTTACGGTCAAGCCGAAAATCGCTTTGAAGGACTATGTGATCCTGGTGCTGTTGTTCTTCGGGGCAAACGTGTGCAATAACTATGCCTTCAACTTCAACATACCCATGCCGCTGCACATGATCTTCCGCAGCGGATCACTGATGGCCAACATGATAATGGGGATTATATTGCTGAAGAAGCGCTACAATCTGCGGCAGTACAGCTCTGTGGCCATGATCACGGCGGGCATTATCCTGTGCACTCTCGTCTCCAGCGGCGATGTCAAGGACAACACCCACCACTCACTGCGGGTGGAGACCTCCTACTCCGACTTCTTCTGGTGGTCGGTGGGCATTGCCCTTCTGACCATCGCCTTGCTGGTTACGGCCTACATGGGCATATACCAGGAGGTGATCTATAAGCGTTATGGAAAGCATCCCAGCGAAGCACTCTTCTATACGCACATGCTGCCGCTGCCGGGATTCCTCATCATGGCCAGCAACATTGTCCAGCACTTTGGTATTGCCCTGTCCTCGGAAACGGTGGCGGTTCCCCTGTTGGGCGCCATCGGCTTGGAATGGAAGTTCCCACTTATGTTATTCTATCTGCTGTGCAATGTGGTCACCCAGTATGTGTGCATCAGTGCCGTCTATCTGCTGACCACCGAGTGCGCCTCGCTCACCGTCACCCTGGTCGTTACGTTGCGGAAGTTCGTCTCGCTCCTCTTCTCGATCATCTACTTCCGTAATCCGTTCACCGTCAACCACTGGCTGGGCACCATCCTCGTCTTCTTCGGCACCATTCTCTTCGCCAATGTGATCAATCAGCTGAAGGACGCCTACCAGGCGCGTTCCACCGGCAAGAAACAGCGCTTCGAGACCGCTCCCAAGCCAAAGAAGGTTGATTAGGCGGCGGGCAGGCGGTACAGTGCGGTACGGCACTGTAAGTTGCTGCAGAGGCCATTACCAATTAATTGTATAGTCCTAGAGTCTTGTTTGTAAATAGAATACTTTTAAAAATTTTGTGTATACGTTAAGTGAATAATCGTGTCCGTCGCAAGTTCTAAATTTTTATATTGATGTGTTTCTTTTAAACTCTTTTTTTAGTTTTTTTTTTAAATACAATTTTTTTTATATTTAAAATAATAAATGATCAACCGTGAAAAAAGTATTTATGTGTTTTCAAACTTAATATATGGGCATTTCCGGGAGGGTAAAGGATAATATTTTGTTGGATTTTTTGAAAAAAAGAGAGTACTGTTTATTTTCAAAAGGTAAGATTTGAAGACTTTTTATTTAAAAATAATTTTAGGATAAAAAAGAAATCTTCTACCGAGAAATTCTACAAATGTAGGCCACTAAAAACGATGTAGTTTACGATATATAGAAATTACTTTCAATTGATACTATTATTTTATTTATTTTACATGAAAACGATACAAGATCTCGACGAACTTATTGTTTAATTATCTATTAACTTAACAAGATAATGCTTAACACGATTTTTCCCTTGTTTTGGAATTTTATTCTTTTTTTAAACATCTAATAAAGAGATATGGTAAAAGTACAGCAAAAATATACAATATTTTCCATGCAAAATAATTAAAAATAAAACTGCCCCCTAAAATATGCTACAAAAAGCTATAAAGCAGAGAGCAGAGTAGTACTTTCAGCAGAAAAAAAAAACACTATTGTATTCTGAAAGTTGTGCAAATTCCTCTATAAAATTACACAAACAAATTCGACGATATTTAATATTTTCTGGAAATGCCTACATATATTATATTACTGGCATCTGTCTGTCTATATGATCGCGTGGATCTCAAGATGTACAAATACTCACCATACAAAGCTAATCAGAAATAATGTCTTTCCTGGAATACTACATTTGAACTTTGTTATGGACTCATGTATCTAACAATTTACTATGGAAATTACGCAAAAAATTCCATGACAATATAATAATGGATATTCATAATCAAAATCAAACATAAGTAGATTTAAGAAGAATATAAAATTCAATTACAGAATAATCAACATTTCACAGGAACCAATTCTTGTAGAAATTTTGGGTATAAATACGATCATTATTCGTGAGGTCTTCGTCAGTCCATAAGTTCTTCTTGAACAATCATGGGAAAGTATCCTTCTGCCATCCTTGTGGCAACGGCACTGGTATTTTGTGCCTTTTGTCCTTTCTTTGTCACGTCCAATGACACCGATGAGGTTGTATTCCACAATGGCATAGAAAGCTTGTTGAATATCATGAAGAAGTATCAAGACAAGTTCGATAGGAAGGTGAAGTTTGTCCAGCTGCAGGCGGCCGTCGATGAAATCGATAAAGCCATGCTGGGATACGACGGAAAGGCCAAGGACAAGCTGCCCCAGATTCGCTCTTTGAACTCCGACGCCCGACTCACCTACGAGAACTGTGTGGGTCCTGTCTTCGAGTGGTGCATCTCCGTCAACAGCACCTTCAGAATCATCATCCCAATGTTTAACGACAGCACCCTGACGCAAGATGGTAGGAATATCATCTGGAACATGACAGTGGCTTCTCTGAATTTGGGCCTCGAAAAAACCAAAAAATCTCTGGAACTCCTCACCAATGTCCAATACAAAACCGCTGAGCTCAGGAGTCTGTTTAAAACTATTTTGCATGATGTCCATGATGATTTCGGCCCTAAGGGCTTCTATGGCAAAGAGAAGGTGGACCTGGAGGTTGTACAGAAGACCGACACTGCGGCTTTTGTTGGCAAATTGTTTGCTAAGATCGGGTTAGTGATTTTTGGACCGATTGGTGCTGCTGTGGGCTTTGGAGCCTCCTTTTCACTTACGTATGGTATCCTGAAGTTGGACCATTGGCAACAAAAGAAAGCCTACCAAGAGCAAATAAAACTTATTGACGAATTCTTTACGGTACTGACGAAAAAGATTGAGGAGGCCACCGAGATAGTGAAGGATATCGAGAGTGCCCTGGAGAAGGACAAAACCAATCTGCACAACTTCCGAGGATTAATGGAAGGGGCCAACATTGTAAGTTTTCCTAACAAAAACTAAGAGGTTTATCCCGGAACTTGTTCAATACTATAATTTCTATTTTTGCTTTAATTCTTCAATTTTAGGACAAAGTAATTTTGATGATGCCAACCGCGTTCCAAAAACCCGAATTCATTTCAGAAATCCAGAATCTAAAGAATCAGTGCACCGAGTACTTGGAGTGGCACGGATACGATACTTCCTTTTATCAGAACATCAAGTCCAGGAAACGTCGAGCAGCCTCCTCATTCTGTGAAGGCCAACGTTCAAATGCCAAGGACATGTTGGCCCAGTCCGAGTCCCAGGCGAACTCCACACAATTTCAGAAACTGGGTCTCATCATCGACCAAATGAATTGTGGTGGCTATATTCCTCCATATGCCGTGGAGCGATTCCAAAAAGTGGAGTGAATAGGGAAAATTTTACCCAAAAACCCACATTAAATTTTAATGCATAAATAATAAAGGTTAAACATGTTACTAGTTTAAACCAAAAATTATTACCATTTATCTATTAAATTGAATATTATGAGAATATTATGTCGGAATTGTAAAATTTTTCAATGTCTCCTTTTAAAAGATGGCAGGTTGGAACTTTATAATCTTTTATGAAATATCGTACAAGAGACTAGTTGGAAAAACATAAAATCTGTAGAGACAGATATTATTTCATAAAAGATTATAGTCGTTGATGTTATTAGTTTCTAATAATTGTATCGTTCCTCTAAAAGGGAAAATAATAAAGGCATAAAATGATTATACATATAACTTGCAATATTCAGATGTTTAATATATAATGGGGACTTGCCCCGAAGTACGTTTATATCATATTTGATTATATTTTGGATTATTTAATATATGATCGAATTTATGTACCTACTATATATTTTTGATTTCTTCAGTGTAGAGCAGAGAGTGTAGAGAATCTTAAGGGGCTTCTTTATAAATGTCATACATGTCATATATGAACTGATAAGAAACTGAATCAGTATTAAAACGAATTTCCCAGAAATCAGATGCCTTTATGTGCAAAAATTAAATATAACACATAAATTATATGGATTATATTTCTCAATAATCAGCAGTTAAAAAAAAAAAGACTTCAAACATTTTTAGCGATAATCTTTAAGAAATTTCCCAGCTTACAATTTGATTAAACGTAAGTTTAATATTTGATTTATGTAATTTATATAAATGTATAAAAATGCATATATGTATGTACCTTTACTGATAATGATGATAATTATTAATGATTGTGCATCGCCTAGAAGTCAAAACAGTTGCATTTTTCTCCTCGTCAGTAAAGCATCGTTTTAATGTTATTTTTTTTAGTGCATTCTTAATTAGTAATTATTGATTAATTATGGGTACGAATCCTACTGTTGCCATGTTGGCATTGGCATTGACATTTTGTTCCCTTTGTCCTTTTTTTGCAATTTGCGAAGAAAAGGACCTTGGAGATTTGAGAAAAGGCATAGAAAGTTTGTCGAATATCATGGTGAAATATCAGGCCGAGTTCGACCGGAAGGTGAAGTTTGTGAAGCTGCAGGAGGCCATCGATGAGATCGATAAAGCCATGCTGGGGTACCAGGGAAACGCCAAGGACAAGCTGCCCCAGATTCGCTCTTTGAACTCCGACGCCCGACTCACCTACGAGAACTGTGTGGCTCCTGTCTTCGAGTGGTGCATCTCCATCAACAGCACCTTCGACATCTTCATCCCCTACATCGGCGCCAGCCAGCTCTCGGCCCACGATAAGAATGTGATCTGGAACATGACGGTGAATGCCCTGGATTCGGGCCTCGAAAAAACCACCAAATCTCTGGAGCTCCTCACCAATGTACAATACAAAACCGCTGAGCTCAAGAATCTGTTTAAAGCTATTTTGCACGACGTCCACAATGATTTCGGTCCAGATGGCTTCTACGGCAAGGAGAAGGCCGAATTGCAGGAGAGGATCAACGACAACGAGGTGGCACGGAAGGCAGGAATTTCGGCATTTGTTGGCTTCTTGTTTGGAGTGATCGGTTTTGTGATTTTTGGACCGATTGGTGCTGCTGTGGGCTTCGCAGCCACCTTTGCACTCACCTATGGTATCCAGGAGTTGGCCCATTGGCAACAAAAGAAAACCTACCAGGAGCGTATTGAGGCTATTGACAACTTCTTCACGGTCCTGACGAAGAAGATTGAGGAGGCCACCGAGATAGTGAAGGATATCGAGAGTGCCCTGGAGGAGGACAAAACCAATCTGCACAAGCTACGAGGAGTAATAGAAGGGGCCAATACTGTAAATTTTCTAAGAAGTCTTCTTCAATATCTATAATTTATATTTTTTCTTTAATTCTTTAATTTTAGAATAAAAAATTATTGTTGATGGATGCCGTTTTCCTGCGAGCCAGCTTTATTCCAGACATCAGGAAACTGAAGGATCAGTGCACCAGCTACGTGAACTGGCACGGATACGATGCTCCCTTTTATGAGAAGATCAAGTCCAGGACTCGACGAGCAGCCTCCTCATTCTGCCGAGTCCAACGTTCAAATGCTAAAGACATGTTGGCAGAGTCAGGGTCTTCGAATTCCACACAATTGCAGGATCTGGGTCACATCATCGACCAAATGGATTGTGGTGGCCATGTTCATAAGCTAGATATCTATACGATTTTAGAGAACAAATTTTAGTTAATATCAAGAAAATATTATATATGTTTTTAATTTTTTAATAAAGCGTGAAATAATACTTTAAAATATTTGTACAAAATTTTAAGGCATCAAGAATGAAGCAAAAATTAGTTTGTAAACTAAAGGGATTTTTTCTTTAAAAGAATTTCTTTAAAAGTAGATCCAAAGGAGAGCTTACCCATCCATCCTGGCCTTCATAGAGTGCTATCTACAGTGATGTGGATAAAGTCGCCTCAGATAGATTAACAAAGCTTAAATCTATATCGGACAGCCAATAAATTTTGTTCTAAAATTAATGGATTAAAGAAAAAATAGAAATTACAGTATTGAACAAACAAAGAACTCTTCTTTCTACAAAGGACTTCCTACAAAGGTTATTAAGCCTGGTACCCGAAGAATTCAAGGGTATATACAAGTAGTATTCCTCTATTCGACATATACATACATATATGTACTCATAAGCTATATATATTCTTGATCAGCAGAAACCTTGATTATCGCTAATCATAAAACATAATTCAAAGATTCACAGAAACCATAGCCAATGGTATTTTTTGGGAATTTCTTAAAACTCTTATCAAGGTACCGTCCAGGCAATAAATAGAAATATTTATAGTACTGAAAATCAGTCGCATTTGTCTCTTCGTCTAAGAGCATCGTTCTATTTTTTTTGGCTTGTTCCGAATATAATTATTTCAACAATCATGGGAAAGAATTCGGCTCTTGCCATCTTGGCTGTCTTATTCGTTGCCGGTTGTCCATTTTTCGTAACGTGCTATACACACGACGAGTTACAAGTTTACTTTAAAGGACTAAATAGTTTAGAGAGAGTCATGGTTAAATATCAAACAGAATTCGACGAAAAGGTGAAGTTTGTGCAGCTGCAGGAGGCCATCGATGAGATTGATAAGGTCATGATTAACTACCAGGGAAATGCCAAGAATAAACTGGATAAGATTCGCACCTTGAATGCCGAGGCTAAGCTCACCTACGCCAATTGTGTGGCTCCGGTCTTTGAATGGTGCGTCGCAAGCAAGGATCCCTTCAATTTATTCATTACAGATTTCAACAAACCAGATCTGTTATTTGAAGACAAGAAAATTATTCTGGAAATAATAATCGAAGAAATACATAAAGGCTTAAACAAAACTACATCATCGCTGACCCTTCTCTATAATGTCCAAAACCTTACTGCCGAGCTTGAGAATACCTTTAGCTCCATGATTCACAATGTCCACGATGATTTCGGCCCAGACGGCTTCTATGGCAAAGAGAAGACGGAAATGGAGCAGAGGATGAATCAACGGACGCCTACATCGGTAATATCCCGGAGGATAGTATACGTTGATCTTTTGTTTATATCGATCGGTGACCTGATTTATGGAAGAATTGGTGAAATTATTGGATTCAGGATCACCTTTACTATAACTTATGGGATCGAGAACAAGGACCAATGGCTCAATAAAAAAACATACGAAGAGCGTATCGAGTTCATTAACAACTTCTTTAAGATTTTGCTGAAAAAAATTGAGGAGGCCACCGAGACAGTGAAAGATATCGAGAGTACCTTGGAGGAGGACAAATCCAATCTACTTAAGCTTAGCGGAGAGATTAAATCTGCCATAAGTGTAAGTTTTCAATGTAAACAACTCTTATTTAGTAATCCTATAGTTTATGGGTTTTTGTTTCAATTTAGATGCAACGAGTGTTGAGCTCACCCACACCGACACTGCAAGCAAGATTCACTCCAAGCATCACAAGAGTGAGGGACCAGTGCACCCTTTACGCGAATTGGCACGGACACAACGCTTCATTCTATCAGAAGATCAAGTCCAGAGCCCGTCGAGCAGCATCCACCTTCTGCCAAAGGCAACGATCCATAGCTGAGGATATGCTAGCCAAGTCAAGGTCTTCGAATTCCACACAAATGAGGAGCGTTATCAATCGAATGGATTGTAGTTCCCAATAATTCACCCGATCATATTTATTCTTTTAATTATTCTGAACACAATAAAAGCTATTTTTATTGTATTATAAAGTATCATTATTAATAATGCTTACTTAATTTTATGATATTTATTTTCGTTCAGATATGTTTCAGCTTTATAATAGCTTTTGACCTAAAATGGATCGATCCTGACCAAGTACTATATTTGAATAAACTTTATAGGGTTGGAGATGCCTCCAAAAATGTATAAAATCGAATCGCATTTCAATGACTTTTTTTAGTAACAAAGAAAATATAATATACCTATTCTAGCACATATTTTAAGGCAGGGGGTTCTAGGGTTATATATATAATAATAATAGATAATACTTATCAGTGTGGTTCTATTCAAATCATAATCAATGCTTTACATAGTTCTGTACTGTCACTCTCAATTTTTTTTTTTCAAATTGGGGTTTTTTTTCTGTTTTGAGTATTTTAAATATTTCCTATTATTTTAGCGTAAAATTCGTCGAAATGCGATGGTTCTACGCCTGCTGTGTGATCGTGATTGGTGCCCTACTATTCTGCGAGTATATAGCCGACTTTGTGGTCCTCCAACAGTGCAAGTGGCCGGATGGGATCAATCGGAAGTCACCGTACATGAACGATGCATTGCGGGCCTTAATCATTGCAGACCCTCATCTATTGGGTCCCCATCGCGGGCACTGGCTGGACAAGTTCTATAGGGAATGGCACATGGCAGGAGCCTTCCAGGCGGCCGCTCGTCTCTTTCGGCCTGACGTGGTGTTCGTACTGGGCGATTTGTTTGACGAGGGCGACATGGTGAACGATAAACACTTCCAGGACTATGTGTGGCGCTACCTTAAGATGTTCCACCTACCGCCAGGCATACCACTCGTCAGTATCGTCGGTAACCATGACGTGGGCTTTCATTACAAAATGCATCCCTTCTTCATATCTCGCTTCGAGAAGCATCTGAACCACTCCCTGGTTACTCTGTACACCATCAGGCAGATACACTTTGTGATGATCAATTCCATGGCCATGGAGGCCGATGGATGCCGGATCTGCACCCAGGCCCAGGAGCAACTGAGAAACCTCTCACGTATCCTCCAGTGCATGAAGTTTCCGCAAGATGACGAGTGTGACTACTCTGAGCGGCCATTGTATAGCCATCCCATCCTGCTCCAGCACTTCCCCACTTACCGAATTTCCGACACCCAGTGCCAGGAGTACGATACTCCGTTGATCGAAGCCTACCGCGAGCGCTTTCATGTTTTGTCCAAAGAGGCAACGGACATGTTGGGGGAGCTCTTGCGACCCAGACTGGCGTTTGCCGGGCACTCGCATCACTACTGTCACAGCGTGAATCGGCTGGGCATCGATGAGTACACGGTGGCCTCGTTCAGTTGGAGGAACAAGGTGAATCCCAGCTTCATGCTGACCACCATTACCCCTGATGACTATATGGTCTCCAAGTGCAAGATGCTTTCTCAGCAGTTTGTAATCAACAGTTACCTGGTTGCCGGAATCCTATGTCTAATCATCGTAGCCTGTCAGCTACCAAAACGTAATAGCAAGAGAAAGTCCTCATCATTGTCCAAGGATCTTTGAAAGGATGGGCAATCCTAACCTAAAAAAACAAGAGATGTGATCAATTTGGAGGTTTTATGGAGGCTTGAAGAGAGTTACTTTGAGGAAGAAGTACGTCTATTACAAGAAGTTAAAAGAGTGGACCTAGTCTCTATAAGACTATCGACTATCGACTTTAAGCTTAGAAATTGATTTAAAAAGTAACCGTCGTTTGGTATTTTCCAACACTGCATGCCGCATATTGATAGTTTAAAATGGCTACCGATATCCGCTGATGGCGATAGATAACAATAAATAATATACGCAATATTATTTGCGCAATATTTGTAATTTTATATAATATATGGATTAAGTCTTACAATTATCAGCAGTTTAAAAAATTCCCTTTTTGTTATTGTTAATATATACCCAATTACCCTATTTATATATTCCTATGAATATATAATATGACTCTGTATTTTATTGAAAATGTGATTCTGGTTATCAGTAATGTAACCCTATAATAACCCTATTTAATATGAATTTAAATTTCCAGGAACTCCAATCGAAGGTGTAAATAGAGATACGATGTACCTTTTTTCAAGCAGTAGCATTTTTCTCCTCGTCACTGAAGCGTCGTCGGTGAATTAAGAGATCCTTAATCCTTCAGAATGGGAAAAGATCCTTTCGTAGCCATTTTGTTAACGGCATTAGCATTTTGCGCCGTTTGTCCTTTTTTTGCAACCTGTGAGGAGACCATCTTGCGAAATGGAATAAAAAGTTTATCGAATATCATGATCAAATATCAGGCCAATCTTGACAACAAGGTGAAGTTTGTGAAGTTGCAGGAGGCCGTGGATGTGCTGGACGAAGCCATGAGTGGATACCAAGGAAAGGCCAAGGACAAGCTGCCCCGGATTCGCTCTTTGAACTCCGAAGCCCGACTCACCTACGAGAACTGTGTGGCTCCTATCTTCGAGTGGTGCATCTCCACCAACCGCACCTTTGACATCTTCATCCCCTACATCGGCGCCAGCAACCTTACGGCAGAGGATAGGAATATAATCTGGAACATGACAGTGACGGCCCTGAATGCGGGGCTCGAAGAAACCGCCAAATCTCTGGAGCTCCTCACCCATGTCCAATACAAAACCGCTGAACTCAAGAATCTGTTTAGTGCTATTTCACATGATGTCCAAGATGATTTCAGCCCAAAGGGCTTCTATGGCGTAGAAAAGGCGGAACTGGAGGCGATGAACCGTGATCTGATTGAACAACAGTTGGGAGTTTCGATTTTCGTTGGAATTTTGTTTGGTGTGATCGGAACCCTGATTTTTGGACCGATTGGTACTGTGGTGGGCTTTGCAACCGGATTTGCAGTCGGATATGGTATCGAGGATCTGGAACATTGGCATGAAAAGAAAACCTACAAGGAGCGTATTGAGGCTATTGACCACTTCTTCAAGATGTTGAATAAAATGATAAAGGATGCCACCGACATAGTGAAGGATATCGAGAGTGCCCTCGAGGAGGACAAAACCAATCTGCATAAGCTTCGTGGAGTAATTGATGGCGCCAACAATGTACGTTTTCGGGCCAAAAAATCAAATTTTTATAAATTTTATAATTTATGCGTTTTCTTTCATTTCAGAACAAAAAAGTACTTGTGTCGCCTAACGCTTTTCTGCAAGCCAGTTTCATTCCAAACATCCAGGATCTGAAGAATCAGTGCACCAAGTACGTGCTCTGGCACGGATTCGATGCTCCGTTTTATCAGAGGACCAAGTCCAGGACCACTCGAGCAGCATCCACGATCTGTGAAGTCCAGCTATCAAATGCTAAAAATGCGTTAGCCAAGTCCAGTACCCCAAATTCCACAGAATTTCTGAAAATTAGTAGCATCATCGATCAAATGGATTGTGGTGCCCACATTCTTCCCATTCTGAAGTGGAGAGAAAAGGGAAGATTTTCCCCAAAATTGATGTAAAAAAAAGAATGCATCCAGAATAAAGAGAAAACCACTTTAAGCCCTGAAATCCAATAATTGTGGTGTCCAGCACCAGTCGAGCAGCATCCATATTCTGCGAAACTACTTTTAATTTCAAACAGGGATCTCTAACTTCTAAGAACTGGAGATATTAAAGATTAATTGAGATTAATCCTTTGATTGAAATTAAAAGAGCCTGCTTTAAATCATTTGTTTTTTTCTTAATAAATGGATTTATTTGGTCTTCAATCCACCTTGTTTTTTATTTTGCGAAAAATATTGTAAAATATTTAAAAAAGAACTAGTATGTGTAATATGAAGGATTATAGGGCGAATAGTTATATTGAGTCCTTGATTGAGTCCTTGATTTGCCAAGTCCCTGGGGCAACTCTTTTCTGTGGAAATCTCTTTCAGTTTCCTGTGGCAAAGGCGTTCTTTTCGGAGGAGCTCGTGGAGTTGCTCGCAGGACAGTGTACTCGAAGCAGAGGTTTCCCAACTTTTGAAAGATTTGTGGAAGACCCTCGCGCACTTTGGGATTATTTAACAAAGTCACCATGTCCTGAAAGTATTCATTTAAATAATTGTGTTTATTTGTGAGTATTCTATTACCTTATTGGGTGATGTGACTGCTTCGAGATTTGGTTTGTCGGCCGCCAAACCAGTATCGACTTTCCCGGCAATGGAGCTGGCATGTGTGATTTTTTGGTTGAGGACCTCGAAGAACTTGTAGATCATCTCGATTTCCTCCTCCTTCGAGGCTATACGACGGTTATCGATTAGAGCGCAGTAATCGTGGCGGGAAAAGGCCTCTACGAAATCCCCCACGGACAGACTCCTCAAGAAGGCAAGGATGGCCTGATACAGTCGACTGATAACCTCCCCCACACCTTCATCCATTGGTCTGCGGGATCCTATGCCCATCTTAATATCCTCAATATCCATCCGGCGTTCTTCCACTTGTCTGGTATACACACCAGATGGACCGAAATCGGAACGAAGATCGTTCATCATTCTGTCCAGTTCGATCTTCATCTGATTGGTCTTCCCCTCCAGCTGATGGAGGGCATTCATCGAGCTGATGGCCTTCTTTATGCCATCCCTAATGCTAGTCGCCGTCATGGTCCAAAGCATCTCCTTGTCAGACGGCGGCAAATCGGAATTATCGATGTTGGACAGGAAAAGGTTAAAGGTACTGTTGACAGCCACACACCACTCGAATACCGGATCCACGCATGCCTGGAAGGTGAGACCGGCGCTACTGGAGAGGCTGCGGACTGAATCCAGACGGTTCCTGGCCCTGCCTTGGTAGCCGAACATGGAATTGTCAATGGCCTCGATAGCCTCCTTCAAGTCGGTCAGTCTAACTTTCGAATCAATCTCTTTTATGTACTTCGATATTATATTTTCCAAACTCTGAAGGGACCTAACAACCACATCGTGATCTGGGTCCTGGGCATTACCAGCCATGGTCCCTATCGATAGGACCAAAATCAATAGGTATATCTCGTTCATGACGGAAAGCTAGAAAGGGTTTTTCACACTTTTTGCTCACAAGACGACCAAATGCTAACTGAATCAGTTCCAAGATTCGCAAATAATGTAGTTTCTGTTCATCGATCGCCAGATAACCACAGGATCATATGCATTATTGACGAATGCGGTCAGACGAATATTATTGACGTACTTTTTACTATATAGCTAGTATATACTACAACAAAGCTAAGTTTTTTAATTCTCATACATTAATACTAATATATAGTTTGTGTTAATTCTTAAGCTAAGCTTAAGCTTTATTTTTGGTTTTCTTTTTTTATTTTTATTAAAAAAAAATTCCCAAAGAGCATCAACTGGGGAACAGTGCTATTATTTCGACCATATCTGTTCAGACTATCAATAAAAATACACCTATGACCTTGAAGTTGATTAATAAGTGCACTCTTATATATTTCCTACCCAATTTCTGAGTCATCTAAGTAATTTTTCTAGGGAAATAAATCAATTTCTTGTCTACAAATTTATTTATTCAAGATTTAATTATCATCCTAATATATTCCTTATTTTTATCGATTAAATCGGCTATTCATCGGTTTTTCGGTCATGAGGTTATCGATAGGATAATATTTTTGGTTGAAACTTTTATTATAAAATGAATGAATCAAAAGAATTCCTTAATTCATTTGTTAATATCATAGATATATATATATATAAATAGTTAAATATATTGTTTCCCTAAAAAACGGAGCTCAAAAATTCATTTTTTAAATATTTCTTGAAAAAATAGTAATCGATAAATGACTATATTTTTTCACTATATTTGAAATTTATTTCAACATTATTATTATAAGAAAGAATTCAAAATAAAAAAAAATTGGGAAATTTATAGAACATTATCAGCAATAGTATAGTCTAGTTAGAGGAATCTTGGAAATAAATCATTTCCTCGAAAAAAAGCTATATAGAGATGTTAGAATATACATTTACATTTTCAAGGGAATATATTATATTTATTTATTTATATAAGAACATCTGAAATCTACAATTGATATGAACTTAATATACATATATATAGCCGATTGATTCATATATAAATAGACGATCCCAATCTATAAAGTCGTCAGTCACATTTATATTTTATTGGAATAGAATCGCTGAAATAGAATCGCTGCCCAGAATGAGGCTGTCCCCTAGTTTTTTCGTTTCAATTTTTGCATTTGCAATATTATTTTTTTCGGTGTGTCGAGCCGACGATGATGATATCGTCACTCTGGAGAAGGGACTCCAAAGCTTATCAAATGTAATGGTTGTATACCAAGCCGAGTTCGACAATAAAGTCAAGTTTGTGGAACTGCAGAAGGCCATCGATCTGATTGATGAATCAATGATAGGTTACCAGGGCACTGCCAAGAATAGATTGGGTATGGTTCGAGAACTAAATTCCGCGGCACGCATCGAATACCATCGGTGTGTGGCTCCGGTGTTCGAATGGTGCATAGCCATTAATAGCACCTTCCGGCTTACCATACCCATGATTGAAAACGATACCCTGAGTAAAAATGATGCGCAATTAATCTGGAATATGACTGTCGATGCACTCGACTTGGGTCTTAACAAAACCACCGAATCGGTAATTATTTTGGAAGACGTTCTTAATCGAACTACTACCTTGAGAGATCTATTGAAATCGATTGCCCATGAGATCGACGATGATTTCGGTCCTAAAGGATTCTATGGTATATGGAAGGATGATCTAGGAAAGAAGCTAACAGAAGAGCAGAAGCTACGAAAGGCGGCTGTATCGGCATTCATCGGACTTTTGTTTGGTGTTGTTACTACTCTGCTATTTGGACCTATTGGAGTGCAAATCGGCTTGCAAGTGGCATTAGCAGTCCAAACTGTGCAGGATAGGATCGAATGGCAGAAAAAGCAAACATACAAGGACCAAATCGAAGCTATTAACAAGTTTTTTAACGTACTGCAAGAGAAAGTGGAAAACGCTACTAAAATAGTGGAGGAAATCAATGTCACCTTGGAAGAAGACAAAATTAACCTTCAGGCTCTCAAAGGACGGATCGAGGGTGCCAACAATGTAAGTCACAAACCCAAACTACACATCAAATTACTTTTCAAAAGTAAACATTTTTAACTAAAAATTCCATACACAAATCAGTAAATTTACTCCGCTTGAGGATCGGCCTAAAACTTCCGAAAATATACGGGGAGCCTATATGGAAATCCCGGATTTTCAAGGGATTACCCCACAAAATTTCGAAAAATTTTGAAAAATTATGTCGATGATTGATTTTGATGCAGATTTACTGGATATCGATCCACAAATCATTTAAGGTATTCCGCTTGGGAATCGGATTCGAATTGGCGAAGATATGGACAATGCTGGGGAGCCTATATGGAAATCCCGGATTTTCAAGGGATTACCCCACAAAATTTCGAAAAATTTTGAAAAATTATGTCGATGATTGATTTTGATGCAGATTTACTGGAAATCGATCCACAAATCATTTAAGGTATTCCGCTTGGGAATCGGGTAAGAATTGGCGAAGATATGGACATTGCTGGGGAGCCTATATGGAAATCACGGATTTTCAAGGGATTGCCCCACAAAATTTCGAAAAATTTTGAAAAATTATGTCGATGATAGATTTTGATGCAGATTTACTGGAAATCGATCCACAAATCATTTAAGGTATTTCTCTTGAGAATCGGGTAAGAATTGGCGAAGATATGGACATTGCTGTGGAGCCTATATGGAAATCCCGGGTTTTCAAGGGATTGGCCCACAAAATTTCGAAAAATTTTGAAAAATTATGTCGATTATAGATTTTGATGCAGATTTACTGGAAATCGATCCACAAATCATTGAAGGTATTCCGCTTGGGAATCGGGTAAGAATTGGCGAAGATATGGACATTGCTGTGGAGCCTATATGGAAATCCCGGATTTTCAAGGGATTGGCCCACGAAATTTCGAAAAATTTTGAAAAATTATTTCGATGATAGATTTTGATGCAGATTTACTGGAAATCGATCCACAAATCATTTAAGGTATTCCTCTTGAGAATCGGGTAAGAATTGGCGAAGATATGGACATTGCTGTGGAGCCTATATGGAAATCCCGGATTTTCAAGGGATTGGCCCACAAAATTTCGAAAAATTTTGAAAAATTATGTCGATTATAGATTTTGATGCAGATTTACTGGAAATCGATCCACAAATCATTGAAGGTATTCCGCTTGGGAATCGGGTAAGAATTGGCGAAGATATGGACATTGCTGTGGAGCCTATATGGAAATCCCGGATTTTCAAGGGATTGGCCCACAAAATTTCGAAAAATTTTGAAAAATTATGTCGATTATAGATTTTGATGCAGATTTACTGGAAATCGATCCACAAATCATTTAAGGTATTCCGCTTGAGAATCGGGTAAGAATTGGCAAAGATATGGACATTGCTGGGGAGCCTATATGGAAATCCCGGATTTTCAAGGGATTGCCCCACAAAATTTCAAAAAATTTTGAAAAATTATTTCGATGATAGATTTTGATGCAGATTTACTGGAAATCGATCCACAAATCATTTAAGGTATTCCGCTTGAGAATCGGATTCGAATTGGCGAAGATATGGACATTGCTGGGGAGCCTATATGGAAATCCCGGATTTTCAAGGGATTGGCCCACGAAATTTCGAAAAATTTTGAAAAATTATTTCGATGATAGATTTTGATGCAGATTTACTGGAAATCGATCCACAAATCATTTAAGGTATTCCGCTTGAGAATCGGATTCGAATTGGCGAAGATATGGACATTGCTGGGGAGCCTATATGGAAATCCCGGATTTTCAAGGGATTGGCCCACGAAATTTCGAAAAATTTTGAAAAATTATGTCGATTATAGATTTTGATGCAGATTTACTGGAAATCGATCCACAAATCATTTAAGGTATTCCGCTTGGGAATCGGGTAAGAATTGGCGAAGATATGGACATTGCTGTGGAGCCTATATGGAAATCCCGGATTTTCAAGGGATTGGCCCACAAAATTTCGAAAAATTTTGAAAAATTATGTCGATTATAGATTTTGATGCAGATTTACTGGAAATCGATCCACAAATCATTGAAGGTATTCCGCTTGGGAATCGGGTAAGAATTGGCGAAGATATGGACATTGCTGTGGAGCCTATATGGAAATCCCGGATTTTCAAGGGATTGGCCCACAAAATTTCGAAAAATTTTGAAAAATTATGTCGATTATAGATTTTGATGCAGATTTACTGGAAATCGATCCACAAATCATTTAAGGTATTCCGCTTGGGAATCGGGTAAGAATTGGCGAAGATATGGACATTGCTGTGGAGCCTATATGGAAATCCCGGATTTTCAAGGGATTGGCCCACAAAATTTCGAAAAATTTTGAAAAATTATGTCGATTATAGATTTTGATGCAGATTTACTGGAAATCGATCCACAAATCATTTAAGGTATTCCGCTTGGGAATCGGGTAAGAATTGGCGAAGATATGGACATTGCTGGGGAGCCTATATGGAAATCCCGGATTTTCAAGGGATTGGCCCACGAAATTTCGAAAAATTTTGAAAAATTATTTCGATGATAGATTTTGATGCAGATTTACTGGAAATCGATCCACAAATCATTTAAGGTATTTCTCTTGAGAATCGGGTAAGAATTGGCGAAGATATGGACATTGCTGTGGAGCCTATATGGAAATCCCGGGTTTTCAAGGGATTGGCCCACAAAATTTCGAAAAATTTTGAAAAATTATGTCGATTATAGATTTTGATGCAGATTTACTGGAAATCGATCCACAAATCATTTAAGGTATTCCGCTTGGGAATCGGGTAAGAATTGGCGAAGATATGGACATTGCTGTGGAGCCTATATGGAAATCCCGGATTTTCAAGGGATTGGCCCACAAAATTTCGAAAAATTTTGAAAAATTATGTCGATTATAGATTTTGATGCAGATTTACTGGAAATCGATCCACAAATCATTTAAGGTATTCCGCTTGGGAATCGGGTAAGAATTGGCGAAGATATGGACATTGCTGTGGAGCCTATATGGAAATCCCGGATTTTCAAGGGATTGGCCCACGAAATTTCGAAAAATTTTGAAAAATTATTTCGATGATAGATTTTGATGCAGATTTACTGGAAATCGATCCACAAATCATTTAAGGTATTCCTCTTGAGAATCGGGTAAGAATTGGCAAAGATATGGACATTGCTGGGGAGCCTATATGGAAATCCCGGATTTTCAAGGGATTGCCCCACAAAATTTCAAAAAATTTTGAAAAATTATGTCGATGATAGATTTTGATGCAGATTTACTGGAAATCGATCCACAAATCATTTAAGGTATTCCGCTTGGGAATCGGGTAAGAATTGGCGAAGATATGGAGATTGCTGGGGAGCCTATATGGAAATCCAGGATTTTCAAGGAATTGCCGCAAAAAATTTAAAAAATTCAAAATTTTAAAATTTTTACGTCCCAATCTGCAGAAGGTATTTCGCTGGAGGATCGAAGACCATTTGGAAAAGATACAGACGTCCAACCCGACTGAAGATGCTTTTTTATTTTCTTTTTAATTTAAAGATTTAAGATTTGAACAATACTTTAAAGTAAATTTTTAAAAATACGCTTCACAAATGAGAACAGGCTCCGGGGCTTTCTGGTCCCCTTATCCTCGTTGTCTGATTCCAATTCACGTTTGGTATCGGCATCCATGGCCAGCATCTCTTCGTCTTTCTGCTCCTGGGTTTCCTCAGGAATAGAAGCTGCTTTGTTTAGGATATCTTTTTGGAGAGCCATATAGCTTTTGTCCAGCGCTTCATAGTCTTTCCATAGTTTCCTGATTTCCTCGTTGACTAATTCTAATTCACGTTCTTTTTGGGCCAACATGGCTTTTTGGGTAGCCTGCTCCAAAAGCATTAGCTGGTGAGTCCAGTCCTCCAGTTTCCTATTTTCTATTTCGTTTTTCAATGTTTCCCTAAGAATGGCCACCTCATCAGTGAACTCTGATGGGTTAGGGTTCTCCTGCGGATTTATGGCCATTTTCTCTAGCTCATCAAGAACCGAACTAAAAGCAAACTGATAGGTTTTTTGTATATGTTGATTAATTTCACCGTCTTCCTCCATCGGTTCAATAATAAAAAGTTCAATCATTATCTCTGAACCTGCATATAATATATATTCGTAGAAAATGATGTTTAATAAATTTTTTACTTACAATTTTTTAACACATCGGAATTCTTATTCATTTCCGAATCATCATTGTCCTGGGATCCCCCGTATTTTTCGGACAGGCGTTTGATCAATAAAAGGGTCTCCCCCAAGCACCGCTTATTTTTTGAAAATATTGGTGTTTCGTTGAATTGTTTGGAGACATCACTAGATGTCTGTTCTTCGTTGTCGATGGATAGTATTTTTTTTAATCTCAAAATACGATTCATTAAATCAGTCGTCATTTTGAGAAAATTTTCCAAATTTAGCTAAGCAAATGAAGCTGTTAGATTTAGACTACGAAGCGGAATGAAATTGATATTCTATATACCTGAAACTGACACTTTCTCAAATGTGACGGAAAAGTAAATGAGTATTTATATTATTTTATTTTATGATATAAAAATTCCTTGAGTAGTTAAAAAAATTGTTTCCTTTTTTTTTGAAAAATACTGAAACCAACCAGTCGGGTAAGAATTGGCGAAGATATAGCCATTGCTGTGGAGCTTATATTGAAATATATGGGGTATAAGGGGAATCTATATGTTCTAACAAGAAAATAATCACAACATGTAATAATAAAATATTTTTTTACTCTTTTTAGAACAAGGAACTTTTAAAACTGAGTCCATTCCTCAGAAGGAAGTACGCTCCCACCCTACAGGGACTGGTGGAGCAGTGCGAGCTATACGTGAAGTGGCACGGCTATAATGAAGCATTTTATCATCCCTCAAAGCCTCGAAGCCGTCGAGATGCACCGCCATCGGATATTTTGGCCATTCCAGAGATGGAAATGCCAAAGGACACGAATCCTGTCGGTTGGTTATCACCGTTGCCATGGCACAAGGACATTGTTGTGCCCCTTTTGAAGCACCTTCAATAAAAATATTGTATAGCTTTTGCTAAATATTTTAATAAAATTAAACAGCAAGCAAAATCTTTCCTATGTACTCTGTTGGATGGAAAAATTTTCAAAAATATGTATATTTTCTTGTCGTATATACAATGGTGAGAGAAACAAACTTTATTGCCACATTCTTGTATATAAGTATGTATTTGTATATAGGTAATATATATGTATATTCAATGAGTTAATACTTATGAAAGGATTTTTCGGGGAAATCGTGTTATCAGGCTCTTTTTTTTTTCACGCACTAAATTATCGTACATAACCATTACTTATTTTTGTTTTTGTTTTTTTAGTTGTTTGTTTTGTTTTTAATTTAAATGCACAGGTAAGTACAGGAATCAAATAGGAAGGAGCGATAGTAAAAAAAAATTATTAAATTATCAAAAAACGAAACTCATGGATAGTGTTCGGAAAGGCAGAACCGAAGCCGGTAGTTGGCTGAACCGGATAGATAACTAGTATCTACTGCTCATCCTTATCCTTGGCACCGTGCTTAAGGATGCGTGTAAATTCCAAATAATCGAACAGACCGTTCTTGATAGGCGCCTCACGATACATTTCGTCCACCTGCCAAGTTTAAATGATTACTTTTTAGAACAAATACAAATAAATGATCAGAAAACCTACATCTTCGTCTGTGAATCGATCGCCCATGGTGGTGAGGAGCTCACGCAACCTATCCTCCGGCAGTACACCCATATTCTCCTCGTCAAAGCATCCAAAGGCATTCTTGATGACGTCCTCGGGATCGGTGCCTTGCAGCCGCTCACCGAAAAGCGTAAGGAACATGGTAAAGTTGATCGGACCGGGCGCCTCGTTCATCATACCATCCAGATAGTCATCGGTGGGATTTTTGCCCAGCGATGCGAGCATATCGTGCAGATCCTCCTTCTCCACGAAACCGTCACGATTCTGGTCGATCATGTTGAAGGCCTCCTTAAATTCGGCAATCTGTGCCTGATCGAACATGGCGAACACATTGGAGGTGGCGCGCTGGGCACGCTTCTTGGTGGTGGCGCGACGTCCGGCGGTTTTGCGGGATGACATCTTGATACTGTGTTGGAGCTGTAGCTGTAGCTGGAGCTGAAGCTGGAGTGTTGGAGTTTGTGGGGTGATGTGGCGTGGATCTGCAAAACAAAACAACAGAATGAAATGAATGATAAACATTAGTATTCATATCGACGATGTAAAAGCACCAAACACAAGCGGCGATCGATCGTTCGCTTTGTGAGTATAATGTCTATATATAGGCATATTGCAGCGAATTCCGATGAAACCGATTTTTCGTCGCTCCCCAAACTGTGTCAACATAAGACACACACACTCGCCGCCTTTCTGTGGCCGCAGCTTCTGAGTCATACGCGCGAATGTCCAAAGCTGACACGTATGGGGAGTCAGTGATGCCCACAGAAGGTTAAAATGAAAAGTTTTTCAAGAATTATGGGATTATTTTTAAAGAAAATTATTTTAAATAAATAGGTAGTTTTTGATGAAGTTTGCTGGCCATAATACAAGCCCTAAAGTTTGATATTATCTTTTTTCATGATTTTTATAAGTTATAGTTTAAAAACATAAACAAAATCTAGCCAGAAAAGAGCCAAATAGCCAACACTGATATGAGTCTTCGCCTGCTAGTCCGTATGTGTGTGTGTGTGTGTGTTTGTTCATGTTTATCAATGCTGTTGAACTGCGGTTTTACAAAAACAACAACACAACTAATTTGGCTCATTGAAAACACTCGCCACACAGCGACAAGCGCGCCGTTCAATTGAACGCCTTAAATGGCCCGAAAACAGCAGCTTAGCCAGCCGGGCTTACGGCCACTACTCGTTGGCACTGACATCGCCACTTGAGGGCCAAACTTTAAAGCGAATTATTAAAATGGTGGCCAACTGGCAGCTGCAGCTGCTGATTTATCACTTTCTTTGGGCCAGCATACCAGCGGCAGAAGTCTCTGAACACGAAAGGCTATTGTTTTCTTTTGGGCGCTGACTCACATGCACACACACAGCCGCCCTTTGGGGGCAGCGCCCTTCGTCCCACGACTTTCTTAAATTCCGCTTGTGGATTCGCGCCTTTGAATTCATACTCACAGCTGCCGAATGCCGATTGTGGTGATTAATACTTTTCCAATTTAGTTGATGCAACCGGGAGCTAGCTGCACTTATGTGTTTTAACGTCTTTGTCCAAAAACTCTGTTAATTTAGCTGTCGTTTATGAATCAGTGTGACCAAGAGTTGCATATCTATCGATGGTGCAATCGTTAGTTGGCAACACTAACGATAAGTTGTGGAATCTATTTGGAACATGGTACTCCAATCAAATTTAAATATTTTTGTACTCTTTAAATATTTTAGGTTTTATTTTTTTATTAAAATAGATTGCAAGCTTCTGCTTTGGCGTCTATTTTAGTCAATATACTTAGCAGCCAAAAAAATACTGCAACTCCAATTTATCGATATCTTATGTGGGGGCGGGCACTTGAAATATTTTATTATCCTTTGAGGATACAAATGTTGTTACTACCAATATCGCTTGCTTAGCAAAATAAATATTCCTTAGAAATATTTAAAAACCTATAGTCAAATTTTGTCAGCATCAATAAATTGTAAATGCATCTATCACAATCCTGGCGCCCAAGTGCAGTGGCAGTGCGCAGCTGGCCACCATCGATAACATCGATAGGATTGTCGATGGTTTTACATCTCTACTGCAAACTGGTCGAAGGGTGTTTTGGGAAATGTTCAATATTTGCGTAAAGTTCTGAGACCTGAATGAAAAGCCATGCACCAGTGGCGTTAATTGATAAGTGCAGCATTGGCGTTGGCTGGCGCCTGATAAGTGTTCGTGGCGTGCGATTAGGTCAATAGTCGATATAAACCGAGTGACTTTTGTGCTGCATTTGGTGCTGGAATCGAAAAATCCTAGGAGATGTGTCTATACCACAGAGTAACTGAATGAGAGCACCAGTGTGTAGGTATATGTGCGCGTGTGTGTGTGTGCCAGCGCACTGGTGTTGGTGGCCACACTGAAAGAATCAATAAAGGATGTGCTGAAGTCCTGCGGATTGCTGGGCACCCAGAGAGAGAGAAAAAGGACGAAAACACGGTCTCGCCCCCTCACATCAAATAAAAATCGTTGCATATATATATATATATATATATATTTATATATAATTGACTATATTATCCGATATAACCGATGCCCTTAACGCGCCTCTAACGGTATCAAGAGTTTAAATTTAAAAAAAAATCAAGGCAAAAATAAAAATTAAAAAAAAAAGGAAACTAAAAACCATTGAAATTTAAGTTAAAATAAAGATTTAAAGTCTATTTGGTATTCCTTTCGACGTCATGATGAGGTTCTGCCTGATAATTGCGACACTAGTGTCGATTGCATGTAAGTAACAAAATAAAGAAAACAAGTGGGGTGGGGGTGGGTGTGGGAGTAGAGGACAGTGGTAGAGGAGGAGGAGGTAGAGGTAGAGGAGGGGAAGATGCTCCCCCCACTTGCTCCGATTTTCCACCAAAAACACACTTTCAACACAATCTTTTCTTCTCCCACTCGTTTTGCGCATCCCGCTCGTAATCCCCGCCAGACTCTGTGGAGGTACACTTCGAGGCACCCGACAGCGGCTTCTTCCTCAAGCACGCCCGCCAACCACCTGTGACGCCGGAGATCGCCAATGTGCAGTCCACATCCTCGGCAGTGCCGCCACTACGGCAACGATCCTCCTACGACTCCGTTTTGTCCCTGGACCGCTTCACCGTGGTGGAGACCACGCAACCGGTGTCCATACGCGCCAGCTATGGCCCCTTCTCCACCAAGCAGACAGTGCCAGCCCGCTACATTGTGCCGGACACGATGGATAACCAGGCGGGCGACTACATGACCGTAAGTACCACCAGAATCCCAGTGGAATCCCTGAATGAAACCTAAACTCGTCCTCAGAACTCGACGGCCACTCTGCTGGAGCTGCAACAGCCCAACATGCATCTGGATATCTCCGCTCATCTGGTGCGCACCAGTGTCTCGCAGGATGCGCCCGTTCTCCGGGTGCTCTTCCATGCTGGCGCCGATCCTGGCGGTCACCTGCAGCGACAAAAGGTTTGCGTTCTCCTGCACGTAGCCATGGGCTCGGAACAGCCGCTGAAGGGACGTTGTATGCCCGAGGGCGAGGACGGAGTGTGCGTGGCCGAAGTTGTGGTGCCCCTTGGCTGGTGGCCATCGCTGCCGCCTCCCAATCAGGACGGTACAGGTCCGACGCCGCCCAAGGTGCCGCAGCGCTATGCCCAGGTGTCGTATAGCGTTTTCGAGCCACCACTAAGGAATCCCGAGCAGTGCGAGCCCAAAGTCCAGATCCAGCCACTGACCACGTTCGCCCAGGTGCCCTTGCTCCCAGCCCGCACTCCCTACCGGATGCTGCGTGCCGACGATGCTGTGACCTTCCTGCTGCCGCAGCACCCACTCTATCCGCTCTCCCGACTCCATGTGCCCGTCTTTCTGCATCAGTATCCGGACCAGCGGGTGGCCGCGTTCACGGTGCGCGCCCGAGTCAAGGCTGGCCTAAGAATACTGGGCGCCACCGCCTCCACAGATCAGTGGAGTGTGTCCGTGGAGAAGGAGAATCCCAAGCATACCACCGCCCGGGTGACCGCCTTCCGCAAGGAGCAAGAATCCAGTCTGGAGTCTTCGATGTCGGGCGGAAACTTCACCGGCGAAGTTCTGGAAATATTCTCATGGCTCCTGGAAGTGGCCGAAGATCCCAATGATATCGTGGACGGAGGAAAGATCGTGTGGTCGGTGACCCACGTGTTCGACACGCCGAAGGATAAGGACTCGAGCGAACTGGTGGCGCCCGATGATACCAAGAAGCGACTAATCGCCAAGCTGGAAATCAACAAGGACGACATCCAGGCGGTGCTGCCGATGGCCAAGATCTGGGAGGTTATGAACACGGCTGTGCTGACCGGCAGGCAAGTGGCCCAGGCCATGAAGGTGTTTATTGTCTCGCAGGCGGGCAAGGTGGCCGATGTCACGCTCCAGAGTTCCTGTCACGCCGAAGACGAGAGTGTCATCAAGGTGAGTTTCTTGAATCCCTGGAGATGGTGGTCGTTCTCTAACATCCTGACTCTCCTGCAGGTTTCATCGTCCTGCAGCTCGGTGTATGTGGACGGTTCGGAGCAGCGTGGCTCCTCAAATGCCTCCGTTATTGTCAAGTATGGCACCTATGTGGGCGTGGCCAAGTTTATTGTATGGATGCCGGAGTTCCCACTAGAGGTTTACATATCGGACTTCCGCCTCTCCCAGATCAAGGGCTGGAAAGTAACCGACGACAATCACTATCTGTAGGTATTAAACACCCATAGAAGGAGCAGCTAATCCTTGGTTTCTTTGAATTTTTTCCAGACACAACAAACAGTCGCGTCGCAGGAAGAAGAGATCCTACGTTTGGGGCCAGCACGGCACCAACTACTACAGCAATCTGGGAGCGGATAAGACTGTGTGCCGGGCCCGATATCAGCAGAGTCCGGTGGAGGTCTATGCCAAGTTTTTGGCCGTAGATCAGGTGAGTTCTAGGATCTAATAAGAGGTTACCTCGTGTACTGATTATACCTTTCCCTTGAAGAACTCTGGACGCACCAGCTACTTTATCTCGCGACGAACGGGCTTAAGGGTTACGGATCTTGTGCAGCCACTACTTCGGGTGGCCGATCCCAAGATTGCTTCGCTAAAGGGTCGCATCCTGCAGGGCAAGTCAATGGGTCGCACCGATGTCCAGGTGCTGTCGCCCATCACTGGTCGCGTCATCGGCACCAAGGAGATCCGCGTGGGCAGCGACAAGGTCAACCTCTCGAAGCTAATCGTGCGCGTCATATCCGGATTGCAGCTCACCATCAGTCCGGACAACACCATCGAGAATGGTTATCTGGCCGAGACTTCGGTCACCCACAAGCTGACGGCCCAGTACCAGGAGGGATTGCTGGACATCGATCTGGAGTTCACCGATGGCTCCAAGACGCCGTTGCGGTAAGGAAGACTACAAAGCTACCAAGTGGAGAGAGATCATGGAGGTTTACTTTACAGGGACATTGCTGTGGAAGACTACTTCCTGTTGGTTGAGAGTCTGGACACGGAGGTGGTGGCATTTGCCCCCATGCTGGCATCCCATCATCCGCGTGTCATCGCCGTCGGCGAGGGCAACGGTAACCTTTTGAGGGTCACGTTGCTGCTCTCCGAGGAGTGCCGGCAGCGTCGCAGCACCCTGAGCAGCACCAAGCAGAACAAGTCGAATGCCGCGCCACTGGCCAGCGCCCTGGCCTCGATCGAGGTGGACTTCAACAACGTGGACATTGTCAGCAAGCAGGAGGCCATCCAGAACGATGGCACCGCCAACCGGGAGCAAAAGAAATACCGCCAGAGTGGCGACTTGGCTGATATAATTGGTAAGGGCTCTATGATGACCACAGTCCTGGGATCTTCTATATTCCATCTATTTCAGTTGGTATTCCGCTGCGAGACTCCAGCCAACAGTACGAGCCCACTGTCCAGGCACGCCAGCATCGCGGCAGCATCCAGGCGGTTCATAAGAACCATCATGGCGTCAAGGGCGGCGCCGGTACCGGCACCATGTCCTCCATGGAGCTGGGCATGTACGTACTGCTGACGGCCTTCTGCTTCGCCATCATTGTGTTTGTCATCTCGTGTGTGGTCTACGCCTCCAAATTCCGGCCGGCAATGATCGAGTCTGGCCTGGATCCACTGTCGGTTGGGAAGGGTAATGGTGGTGCTGGTGGCGGATCGGGCGGCTTCCGGGATGTCCGCCTCAAGGAGTCGACAACAAATGCCCATGACTGGGTGTGGCTGGGCCGCTCCACCATCGATCGCCAGTCCATGGTGGCCGAATCCAATACGCACTTGAATGCCAGGGGTACGGGAACTAGTGATTATTGTATTTATTTTCCTTATACTAATAAAATTTTATACGTTTAATGTAGATTCTCGCATGCGCATCACCAGCAATCCCATTGTCAACTACGACAATGGTCGGCGGGTGAGCTCGTTCGACCAGCAGCCCAAGCTTCAGACCCACATTGTCCCAGCCTCGAACCTGAACAAGCAACACGCCGACCAGTGAGTAACTCCCGGACAACATGGAGTCCAACACAGAGCCTTAACAATCCTGGTATCCTTTCAGTTACATGTCCAACGAGCGCAAGGACAATGCCTTGGATTACAAGCCCCCGGTGCCGCCGCACAGGAATGTGGGAGCTCGAGCCTGTCTGCCGATTCAGCCTGTCCATGGCTCTGGTTCCGTAAAGGTGATAGGATTTCTTCACTTGACATGTTCTTTGTTGTAATCTTCTCCGATATATCCTTACAGGACATGCCGAATAAGCGGCACAGCCAGCTGTATAAGCGCGATCACTTGCCGGGCAACGATACCAATGCCAACCAGCCGTCCCATCAGATAGTTCAGTCCAATGGCCATCCCCAGCAGCATCAACGAAGTCACAGTCATAGTCACAACTTCAGCCAGGAGCCGATCATCAAGGCGGCTCACAACAAAATCAAGCAACAGCAACAACAGCAGCAGCAACACCAGCAACAGCAACACGAGGAACTGCACAATGCCGAGAAGCTGGTGGAGTACACGAATCCCCATCAGAAGAATGCATTTCAGTTTGATTCGCTGACACCAAAGAGAGTAACCAAAGGAGCCGCGTCATCGCCAGCAACGCCGCCCACAGCCATCGTTCAGGGCAAAATCAAAGGTATTATACCTTATTATTAAACAGTATTAGTATTTTTATTAATTCCAAATCCATTATAGAGAACCATAGCATGGCGAATAGCACTGGGGATGCTGTGAACTCTAATGGCACGGATGAGATCATGCGGCTACCGTCCAGCGCTGTTAGCCAGGAGCCCACCACGAAATCGTCGCGTGTCAAGCGCGCCACCGTGGTGGGCAATCCAATGTTCTCGGCCACTGTGGACGAGTCGGTCGCCAATGGCGAGCGTCTGGGTCTGGACGATCTCGATATGGACTACGAGCAGATTATGCATTATTTTGACAACCTAAAGGTAAGCTTTTGATATTATTGTAATATAGTTTCTTATTTTAATTGTTAAATATCCTTTAAAAAGGAGTCAAATGCCTGAGTACAGGAGATTATTGCTAAAATTCGCGAGATATTGTCCACGTTCCATCAGCGATATCAGACGGTTGCCACGCCCCTAACCACACCCACTCGCAAGCAGATGCAGCTGCTGGACGAGCTGGTTGCCGGTGTGACCGCAGGTAAAGGATTCCCCAATACCACATCAACAACAACAACAATCACCCCAACAACCTTGGATATAGAAGCTGAAATTGTATCAGGTGATGGTAATGGTAATCGAGATGGAGATGATGATGGAGATGCCTACGACGGAGCATTGAACCTCGAGAGCAGGCAGTTCTAAAGTCAGGGCGGTAATCATCTCAAAAGCAATTCTAGCAATAACCCCAAAAAAAAAAAAAAGAAAAAACTCTGGAAAAGATCTTAGGAACTCCCTAGACCATACACACTTATCACTATACACCCCCATCAACACCACAACACACATCCATTAGATAACCCCAAAAAACCGTGCTGAAATCGAGTCAAGCGAGATAATGGATATCGTAATCGAAGGAAAAACATATTTATTGCTAGGCTATAAGTTCATATTAAAGCATAAACCTATAGGCATATGTAAACTGGGAACTAATCCTGGGAGTGTGTATCTCGTGTGGAGCGCGTGCCTGACACAGAAAGGACTCGATTCGAGAAAAATACAAAAAAAAACAAAAAGAAGAAGATACCATACAGTACACATATATATGTATTCTAACTCTCTGTATCTGCATAAGTATATCGATATATATATATGATGAATGATGTAGTTAAGGATCAGCCATCTAAAGCCTAGCTTAATCCGCACATTCTTTGTCCCCTCCTCCCCGTCTGCTCTACACACACACACCCACACACACACTATTGGTTATCTAGATAATTATCCTTTTGATCCTTCAAGACTTTATATTTCTGTTTAAGATAAATACTGTTAAGAGATACTGCATATCTACTTAAAGTCCTTGATCCTTTCTCCGCCATATGTGTGTGTGTGTGTGTGTGTGTGTATTTTGAAATAGAAAGAGAAAGAAAAGAAAGATAAGAGGGAGATGGAACCATAGATGAGTTAGGAGGTAGTAGAGTTCCACAAAAATGTGCCGGGCACCGCTCCCAAAAGTCGCTAGAACTTAAAAACTATATAATAATATACACGATATATATAATATACAACAAAAATTATATATATATATATATATTTATGATTATATAGTGCGCGCTAAAAACTTAAAAAAAAAAAAGAAAAGAAAAAAAATAAGAAAAAGAAATGCTACAAGAAACATTATCTAAATGGGACAAAAAATGAACAGAAACCGAAAACATTGCTTTATAAGTTGGTAATCCGAAGCCTATACCGAATACCAATCATAAATCTTAAAAAACCGAAAAAACTAGAAACACAAACACACACATACACACAACAAAAAAATGATATATAGACGCTTATGAGCTTTATTTGATCGATTGCATTAAAAAAAAAAGAAAACAAAAAAAAAAAGAAGCTACAAGAAGAAAAATAATGAAGATTAATCCCCAGTCTATCAGATTACGAAATCAGAACAGAATCACAAAAATATATAAGAAGATTTGGGGGTAAAAAAAAATGTGTAACCAAATATTATATGATATTATCGAGCGATCCAAGCTTTATATAACAAATTTTACCATATATTTAGAGCATACGAGCATATTTATTATTATCATTATGAATTATTATTATTATTATTATTATTATTATTATTATGGATTATTATTATGATTGCTATCAATTATTGTATTTATGAACAAGGAGCAAGTGCAAATCGACAAAATTCAATGCAAATTCAAATTATAAAGCTTGAATAGACAAATTTTTAAATAATAGACAGACACACACACCCCACACACACCCCACACACACCATACACCCACATACACCACAGCTGGAACAAATCGAATGCCATTATGGATCTGTCTACCTATATATGTATACCGTATATATTCTTAGTTACTTGTGTAATGTGTGTAATGGATATATATCCCCAAAAACAAAAAAATCTACTCTTCATTCCATTAGAAAATCATAATTAGAGATAGAGAGAAAAAAAAAACAGAAAAAAAAAACAAAAAGCAACATGTATTTTTGTCTTCTTTCGTTTCTGTAAAAGTCTGTTTTTTAATCTAATCTTTTTATAAATCTTTCTATAGCTTATATCTAAACTATCGATAAGTGCATTATCCTGTATCCTGTAACCAGTATATGTGTCAGAGAACTTAGTTTATGTTTTAGATACCATCTAAGTATTATGTTCGTTTCTCTTTTAATTTTTTTTTTAGTTTCGTTAAACCGTCAATCATTGTTTCATAATCATATGTTGTAAATTGTTCCGTCCAAAAAAACAAAAAAAGAAAAGAAAAATTAAAACAAATTAAGAGAAAAATGTAAACAAAAGCTGAAAAATATAATGAGAAAGAAAAGCAAAAGCCAACAATTGTGTAAAACCGACAAGAAAGCAATCTTAATCTGATTTTTGTAAGAAAAAATTAGTCCTTGGACTAAAACGTGTTTTTGGACATTTATTGCACTATAACTGTACATAAGGTGTTTAGAGTGCAGTGCTATGGCACTGTATGTACTATTAATATTAACTTTGAGTTGCTATCCGTCGAAAAAAAAATCAAAAAAAGGACTGCAAATCACACAACAAACACAAACACACGAAACATGGATATATCCTTAGTCTATCATAGTACTAGTTTCAATTGAGTTTATCAACTAAGTCCTGTCACTTGTCCTATTTAGTTATTAGCTTGATCCTTGATCCTTGGAACATATCCTTCCCTAGTCTGCACAAAAACACACACCACACCACATCACTCACTCTGTTTCCATCGATCTGCACTGCCATTGGTGAAAAAAAAGTGAGATTTAGGCCTATTTGAAGCTTCCAGCATTTACCAGTGCCATATAAACAACAAAAATATATATAAAAAAAAAATATATTAATAAAAATATTTAAAACCTTTATATAAACTTATCTTATGCACATCCTTATGACACAAACAGGACACACCAGAACACAGTGACATCTCAATCTTGGCAGCCGCTCTTGGCCTGCAATGAGCTTACCACAGGCCTTCTTCCAAGCTTGCTTGTTAGATAAAAAAAAAAAACAAAAAAAATCAACTAAAATAAATAAAATAATTAAAATTAAAAATATAAACTACCAACAGCCTCCCTCCAAATATAGTCATACGCGTAGCTGATCTATAAACTGAAACAGAAATCGGTTCAAAATAATTTGATGAAACCGGTAGCCGATTGATTGATTGATTGTCACATTGCCTAGGAAAAAATATTAATAATAATACAATAAAATAAAAAAAAAACACAAAAATTATTCAAACTAGAATATGATTTATTTTTGGAAGCAGTTCCAATGCAAAGACTTTCTTTTACAATTATTTTCCTTTTTAAATATACTTTAAAAAAATATACATTTTTAGACTTATGTTTTTTAGCCATTTTTGAGCCATTTTTTGTTAGTTTAAGTTAAAAAAAATATTCATTTATTTTCTAGTCAGTTCAAAGCGTTGAAAATTGATTCGTTTTGTCACCCATACTCCCACACACACACACGCATACACACACATACACTCATAGTTTGATAGCTTTTACCGCCCACCCCCCTGTGCCACGCCCCTCCAGCCCACTTACACCTAAGCTGTATGTATTTGTATGTAATATCCTTGGAAAAAAAAAATACAATTTTAAAATAATGCACACAAAAATATGAAAAAATATATAAATTTAGAAAAAGAAACAAAAAATACTTTTGATTTTATTTGAAATATTTATTTTTAACATATATCCTGGAATATCCTGAAATATATAGTTCGTAATGTCTATATATATTGTGGCATTCAGGCGACGGCAATGTGTAATGCAAACAAAAAACAAGAAAACCAAAAAAATTAAATTTTAATCGAAAAAAGATCGAAAATGATCGATTAATCGAAAAGATATCACAATGTTGTTTATGCTGCTTTTTTGCAAAAATGAAAACGTAAGAATTATAATTAGGCTATACCTAAAATATACATACAAATCATATATATCCATATATATATATACTATATATATGTATAAATTAATATATATATGTGTGTGTGTATGTGTACGAGAGCTAAATTCGCTTGGCATAAAACGGGAATACCCTTAAAAAAAATTAAAAACTAATTAAGATAAGGAAGTAAAAAGTACGATTTATCGATAAATTCGATAAATTCGCAAATATATACGAAAAAATATATAATGTTTTTGCCATGTAAGTTCTATGAATGTCCCACCTGCCTGAGTCCGCTTAAAAAAAATAACATAAAAATCCAAAAAATGCTACAAAAACAAGTGTGTATCAAAACTACAACAAAAAAAAAATTGAGAAAAAATATCAAGGCTTCACACCCCGCCTCCCCTGCTGATTTGCACCTCCGCCCCATGCCCAACCCCCTCCACCCAATTAAAGCGATAAATCGATTGATCCGCCGCATAATTGTTAACATTTGTATCGGTTATTTAAACGTAGTTGTTGTGTATGTATGTATGTAAGTATGTAAATGTGTGCTTACCCCGATAACGATAAAGCTAACGATTAACAATTAACGATAAACGATAAAACGATGTACGGTAACGGTAAAGATTATGGGATAAATGAGAGAACACGAGAAGAGCAAAAAAAAAAATTAATATTCAATTCTTGTTGTTATTGGCAGCGCATGTCTTTTAAAAGCTAGTGATATATGATTTTCTCTCAAAAAACAAATATCCTTTTTTTTTTAAAGCAAGCAAAATATAAAAATAAAAGAAATGGAATAAAATCACTATCACTATCGTGATGATATCCTGCCCAATCCTATCCAAACACACACAAAACATTAAAACACACACACATACACACAGACAGACCACACTCAGAGTGATCTCCGCGAAATGCTTATATTACGATATATAGTATATATATACACACCCATATTTAAACAGCATATAATGATTATGATATATATATATATAAATCATACCAATTGTCTAACATTTTCGAGCAAGAAAAACCAACCCTTTTCAAATTCATCCAAAAAAAAACTTAATAATAAAGAAAAATGCAAAAAAAAAATATGAATAAAATAAATAAAATAATACACTTCTGCTTGCTGTTGAGTTCCATCATCGGTTAAAGCTGATCCTTTGATCCTTCCGATCGTTTGTACCTTATTTAAAAAGAAAACAAAACAAAAGGAAAGCAAAATATCATATTAAAGCAACAAAATAAAAGAGTAAGAGATTAAAAGAAATAAAGAGGAAGAAAAGTCACCAAAAAACGAATCGAAATGAAATTAATGTTGCCATGTAATAACACCTTAGTAGTCTATTATTATTATTATTATTATTATGATTATTATCATTATGATTATTATAACTATGATTATTATAATATTATTAAGCGAAGGACACATTTTGTTTAAACGAAAGAAGGCAAACAAAGAAGCAAACAAAAATATTATAAATATTCAAAAAAACGAAAAACTGACAAAAATTAATTTAAATAAAAATAATTTATTAATAAACCACATATTATGAAATGACATAAAAATAAATAAATTGTCTTTTTTCTTGGTTTTGGGTATAATACAGTATATTATATAAATTATATATTTAAAAAAAAAAAATAAAGCTTTAGTAGCGGGTATTATATAGTCAAAATTTCAATCATTTATTTTGGATTGGCTTTTGAAGAAACCCAAAACTGGGTGCCCTTGGACCAGTTTTGACTCCTTTAACCTCCATGTTGGCCATATGCGATCCGGTTGTTATATAATTCCCGATTTGGCTAACGGGCATGTGGCAGACCGTGTGTTCTTGAATTTTACGCAACAGTTGGCGCCGCCAATGTGATCTTGGGTGATGTCGAGAGATGGCGTCAACCTGCAAAACCCCCAGCCCGATTCCCATCCAATCTAAATCCAACAACCTTTCCGAGCATTCCCAATGCGAGATGCCAATCCATGAACTGCCTTCGCCCACTCCACCCGGGAGAGGATCAATAACAAACAAATAATGTGCCGTAGTTGTTGTCGTAGTCGTCTAATTGTAAGAACCAACTTCCAATTTCAGATCCAACATCCGACATGATGGCATAACCCGTGCCGTTAACAATTGAGGTTGAGTTGCTAGAAATTATAGGGTTTTTTTTTAAATATTAATCGTGCAAGTATTTAAAATTTAGAAAAATATCTTAAGGTTTTATAGTTAAGAATTTAAAAAGTCAAGGCATGTTTTTAAAACCTTTACTTTGGTCCTACTAGGCGTATACTTGATATAATCTTTATAATATTGCGTATACGACCTGTTGAATTTTTGTTTCTTGATTTTTAGATTATTATTATATTTTTTTTATAATTATTGTATATTTTTATAGCAATATTTTTTATGTTATTAGTTTTCTTTTTGAAGCCACAGGGCGTATACGTTATATTCCTTTCAAAAATCACGCATACGCCTAGTTGAACATTTTTTACTAAGTCTAAGAAATATTTAGAGGAAAACGAATTTTATTAAAGTTTTACAATCAAAAATATAACTAAAAATAATTTTAATTTTTTACATTTTTTTTGTAGAAAACATTAAAGGGGTTTAAGATTCAGATTAAGACAATAAAGACTCTCCAGTGCCTCTTATTCAGTATATTTAATTTTGTTAGATACTGGTAGCTCTATAATTTGTGACTCTATTGTGCAGATGTGTGGGACTTTCATTCCGCTGATCGGCTGCCCAAACCTAGAAGCCAAAGATGCGCTGCGAAGCGGACCCACCGAGGCATATAAAAGCGCTTCCAAAACGCTCCAACATTTCAGTTGCTTCAAAATTATCGCCCCAAACCGCTGCCCGCGTCATTGTTTTCCAACTCTTTTCACCAACTTACTAGAATACCATTTATTTTTTTTTTTTTGTGAACAATTTTTTGGGCAAATTTTTGGAATCGTAAAATGTCGTTCATTGGCAACACATCGGATCTGGAGTGCGAAAAGAATGAGTTCCCGAGGCCGCGCTCCACGGGCATTGTCACCAAAGTGGCGGCCCACAAGCTGTCCGCGGAACCGAAATGGGTTGACAAGCGGGAGGAGGACTCGGATTCGGAGGTTTCATCGCCGGATAACTTTTTAACCAAAGGTTCTATATTATTTTAGTTTCTCTATCTATTATCTTGGTGCATGCTTTCATTTCATTTTGTTGAGAAACTAAACTAGTAGACTAACCGGGTAACATCATTACTTACAGGCGCCTTCCTACTGACACCCTCCTATGAACTGTCCATGGAAAGGGCGGCCCTCATCTGCGAGAAGATGAGCTTCAAGGGATGCTTCAGTTTGACCAAAACCGCTACAGGAATTCTCTTTAAATTCTCACATCCAGATGACTATCAGGCGGTGTTCAAGAAGGGCTTCCACAAGGTCACCGGAGCGCGGTTCTATCGCAAGGTGAGTTTTTCTTTTTGAAATTAAAATATTAAGTATTCAGTGATGGGAAGGGTTATAAGGTCTAGGTTCTATATTTTAAAGAGGAATTCTAATAAAAGTAAAAATATATCAAGAAGATATTACAAGATATTTAAAAAACAATGAAAATACCTATATATAATCTAAAAGTCTTCAAAGATTTTAAAGAACTTTTGAATGATAATATTGTAAAGATTTGAAAATATTCTTTAAAAATTTTTAAGCTTTTTTAAATTTTATTTTAAAACTCCCCCCATCACTGTCTATATCCATCTTTATCCATAATCCCCCATCACCCATCTATATAGCCATTTAATTATTTTTCTAAAACCCTCATTTTTTTGAACATAATTTTGTCCATTTTTGTTGTCTAACCCCAAAAAACAAGTGAAAAATGCAAATTTTATTTCCCCCCATTTTGCAGCAAACATTTTCGCGCAGTGTGAGTATAATACATCCACGTCCTGAGATCGGGATTAAATACCTACATCCTAGATAGATTAACAGTTTTCACAAAACCATTATTGTCTTTAAAAAAATATGATCCATATGATCTGTTCCGTTCCGTTCTCTTTCGATCCGGTTTTTTTTATTTCTATTTTGCCCGTAGATTGCCATTCCGTGCCGGCCCCGGAAAACGTTCACCCTGTATGTGCTGGACGTGCCCGAGGATCTGCCCGTCGAGGATATCCGACATGCCATGTACAAGTTCGACTCGGTGGTGGAGGTGGTCAGGCTGCATATCTATTCGAGTTTGGGCACCGGCGGCTCCAGTGCCACGGTGGCCACCAGCTCCTCCGCCGGCGTCGACAAGGGCGTCGAAGGTGAGCAGTTGCAGCTGCTGCAGACACCGACCCAGACCCTGCGCAGAGCTGCCCTCCGAAGTAAAGTACCCTCCAATTGGTAACATTCTATCAAAATCCATTAAATCCCGATCCCACTTTTACAAAATTTTTTTACAAAATTTTATGGTCTTTTGCACTCTTTTGTCTTTAGTTTTTATATCTTAATTAATTAATTAATTAATTAATTTGTATGTCCCTAGGCACCTCGAAGAGCGTGGGCTCTGTGGTTGGAGATGCCATCGAGAAGGCGGAGCGTCCGGAACGCCGGGAACTGCCCCCAGCCGTCATCCGGATCACTCTGGCCTCCATGGATGAGTACAACATCTTGTTGCAGAATGGACTCAACTTCTATGATGCCACCTTCTTTCCCACTGAGGCCAATATCTCGCTGAAGGGCGCCAAGATTGATTACAAGCGCCGGTATATATATTTTTCAATTTTTTTTAAATCTTTAAACCCCCAACCATCTCTTATAGAATGCTTGATGGATCGATTCCCGGACGGGTGAGGGAACTGCTGCCCGTTTTCGATGCGGCTGGCTTCTGCAAGCTGCCACCGCCCACCAGCAAGCTAATTAAGCCACCGAGGTCATAGATCCATCAGCCAATCCAGCCAACCGACTCCCCACAAGACGATCCACACGACGATCCAGATACGAAAAAATCGATTACGACGACGATGACGACGATGACAACCAAGAAAGAAACGCGTTCCGGCCAAATACACAGATGTCAGATGTGATATCCGGGGCCCCTACTCCCCTCATACCCCTCATACCCATATACCCCATACCCCACCTATATAGACCCTCCCTCCTACTCTTCCACTCTTCAGCCAGCCAGTTTCTATAACCCGATTTTGGATAATTATCTCCAAACGGATGCCAACATTTCCGTTCGCCGATCCGATCCATAAAATATAATTCCTCTTTTGGTTTTTTTTTATTATTTATCATTTATTTTTGCCTCTGTGAACTGTTTAATTTATAAATATATATACCAACTATTTTTTTTTTTTGCGCTAGTTTTATTATTAAAGGCCCTTATAAGGCAATAGCATCTAATTTGTTCGATTGTCTGTCTAACAAAGAAATAATAAAAACGAAATGAGAAAAACACTTTTCAATGGCAAACGGAAATGAAACTATTTAATATATATATATATTCAAGTGATAAACAAAAGAAAATATTTAAAATATTTTTTATTAATGGAAAGATCATGAAAAAAATTAGATCGAAATATTTTTTGAAATTTTTATCCATTTTTGTGGGGAGACCCCTAGGAAAAGTACGATTTTCACATGTGGCCCCAAGCTATACCCATATCTTGGCCAATTCTCATCCGATTCTTGGCCGGAATGGCTTAAATGCTTTGTATTTCGATTCTCCATCATTCTGCATCAAAATATGAGATCGAAATATTTTTTGAAATTTTTATCCATTTTTGTGGGGAGACCCCTAGGAAAAGTACGATTTTCACATTTAACTCCAAGCTATACCCATATCTTGGCCAATTCTCATCCGATTCTTGGCCGGAATGGCTTAAATGATTTGTATTTTGATTCTCCATCATTCTGCATCAAAAACTAACATCGAAATATTTTTTGAAATTTTTATCCATTTTTGTGGGGAGACCCCTAGGAAAAGTACGATTTTCACATTTGACTCCAAGCTATACCCATATCTTGGCCAATTCTCATCCGATTCTTGGCCGGAATGGCTTAAATGATTTGTATTTCGATTCTCCATCATTCTGCATCAAAATATGAGACCGAAATATTTTTTGAAATTTTTATCCATTTTTGTGGGGAGACCCCTAGGAAAAGTACGATTTTCACAAGTGGCCCCAAACTATACCCATATCTTGGCCAATTCTCACCCGATTCTTGGCCGGAATGGCTTAAATGATTTGTATTTCGATTCTCCATCATTCTGCATCAAAAACTAAGATCGAAATATTTTTTGAAATTTTTATCCATTTTTGTGGGGAGACCCCTAGGAAAAGTACGATTTTCACAAGTGGCCCCAAACTATACCCATATCTTGGCCAATTCTCACCCGATTCTTGGCCGGAATGGCTTAAATGCTTTGTATTTCGATTCTCCATCATTCTGCATCAAAATATGAGATCGAAATATTTTTTGAAATTTTTATCCATTTTTGTGGGGAGACCCCTAGGAAAAGTACGATTTTCACATTTAACTCCAAGCTATACCCATATCTTGGCCAATTCTCATCCGATTCTTGGCCGGAATGGCTTAAATGATTTGTATTTTGATTCTCCATCATTCTGCATCAAAAACTAACATCGAAATATTTTTTGAAATTTTTATCCATTTTTGTGGGGAGACCCCTAGGAAAAGTACGATTTTCACATTTGACTCCAAGCTATACCCATATCTTGGCCAATTCTCATCCGATTCTTGGCCGGAATGGCTTAAATGATTTGTATTTCGATTCTCCATCATTCTGCATCAAAAACTAAGATCGAAATATTTTTTGAAATTTTTATCCATTTTTGTGGGGAGACCCCTAGGAAAAGTACGATTTTCACAAGTGGCCCCAAACTATACCCATATCTTGGCCAATTCTCACCCGATTCTTGGCCGGAATGGCTTAAATGATTTGTATTTCGATTCTCCATCATTCTGCATCAAAAACTAAGATCGAAATATTTTTTGAAATTTTTATCCATTTTTGTGGGGAGACCCCTAGGAAAAGTACGATTTTCACAAGTGGCCCCAAACTATACCCATATCTTGGCCAATTCTCACCCGATTCTTGGCCGGAATGGCTTAAATGATTTGTATTTCGATTCTCCATCATTCTGCATCAAAATATGAGATCGAAATATTTTTTGAAATTTTTCTTCATTTTTGTGGGGAGACCCCTGGGAAAAGTACGATTTTCACATTTGACTCCAAGCTATACCCATATCTTGGCCAATTCTCATCCGATTCTTGACCGGAATGGCTTAAATGATTTGTATTTCGATTCTCCATCATTTTGCATTAAAATATGAGATCGAAATATTTTTTGAAATTTTTTCCCATTTTTGTGGGGAGACCCCTAGGAAAAGTACGATTTTCACATTTGACCCCAAGCTATACCCATATCTTGGCCAATTCTCATCCGATTCTTGGCCGGAATGGCTTAAATGATTTGTATTTCGATTCTCCATCATTCTGCATCAAAATATGACATCGAAATATTTTTTGAAATTTTTATCCATTTTTGTGGGGAGACCCCTGGGAAAAGTACGATTTTCACATTTGACTCCAAGCTATACCCATATCTTGGCCAATTCTCATCCGATTCTTGGCCGGAATGGCTTTAATGATTTGTATTTCGATTCTCCATCATTCTGCATCAAAATATGAGATCGAAATATTTTTTGAAATTTTTATCCATTTTTGTGGGGAGACCCCTGGGAAAAGTACGATTTTCACATTTGACTCCAAGCTATACCCATATCTTGGCCAATTCTCATCCGATTCTTGGCCGGAATGGCTTAAATGATTTGTATTTCGATTCTCCATCATTCTCCATCAAAAAACCTCGAAGCAGATCACCCCCCGAAAGATAGTCTTTTTCTTTTGTGGACATTGAATTTATTTAAGTGTTTATATTTGTTTTTATTTCTTTTTTTTATTCAATTTTAGTTAATTGATTTAGGTTCATTCTTTATTTAGGTATACATATATATCTTGATTGATTCAACAACAGACAAAGTTTTCATTTTTTTAAGTTTTTTTTGCACAAAGCTCAACACAAAGACATACATAGATCGTAATATATATATTCGTAAGCATATCATTTTAGTTTTTTTTTTTTTTGTTTTGTTTACCATACTGTCGAATGTCTTGTATATCGTATATAATATATATAATAATTAATAATTGATTTAAAGCATATAATATATCTTGTATCTTGTATCTGTATAATATATATATATATATAGTCTGTTTAGGAAATACTCATAGAACGTGAAACGAAGTCTCTTCCAAAAAGGTTTCAACGTTTCAACTTGGAAAAAAACATTAAATAGCATTGAATAATAATTATTATAAAAAAAATTCACAGAAACGGGAGGCAGGGGTAGGGAGGGATATATATATATATATATATGCAAATAAAAATAATAACATAATATATAATATATATATATATATATATATATATATATGCACAAGGGGGTGGGGAAAAGTAGTTCAAATACAATTATAATGTTACAATAATTCAACGATTAACAAAGAATACACGGATTATTTTTCGCGTTTTTTAGGACACTCCTCCGGGTCCCGGCGCCCCACCGAGCCAACATACACATACACGCACATACATACACAGACATGGGACAGACAAGGAGCAACATGGACATGGTAACATGGTAACATGGTTACAGGTTTTACAGGATTACGGTTTATGGCTACCGCTACGGTTAAACAGACACTGACCCGGAACACTGATCGAAGCAGGAAGCAGGAGCACTTCAATACACCGAATGGACAATGTTGTCCTTCTCGACCAGCAGGCGAACCTTCATACAGCCATCGGAGCCGCAGGAGAAGAGCCGTCCGAACGGATCCACATACACCTGGCTAACGCCCTGGCCGGTGTGCTTAAAGAAACCGTTCTTGGCATGCTCGTGCGGGAACGTGTTGATCAGCACGAACTGGTTCATATCCCAGATCTGTAATGAATCCGATATTATAGCTTTGAAGGATTGGGGTCATTATGGAGAACATACCTTGATGTCACCCTCAATGGAGCCAGTGACAAAGAACTCCTCGTGCGGATCCAAAGCTATGCATTTAATTGTGCTATCATGGGCCTGAAAAATATAGAGACATTTGTTTAATCCTTGACTTTGGGACGGAGACCACATTCTGGCCGAGAACCAACCTGATAGCGATGACGGAGCGTGCGCTGCCTCACATCAAAGACACATATATCGCCGCGTTTGCCGCAGGAGATGAGGACCTGATGCTGGGGAGCAAATACCAAACAGGATGAGCCCTGATCGTGGCAGGTGAAAGCTACAAAGGATTGGAAATCGTTACAAGCTTCATAGACAACAATCCAAGTCACTTACCTGACACGCAGGACTTTTTATTGGGCAGCAGGGTGTCCCAGATATTGATGTTCTTGTTCTCGGAACTTTGCCCAGCTATGGTGGAAGGATTACAGGTTAGAAGCTCGTGGAATATACCCACAATAATCTTAGAAAGACTTACCACTAGCCAGGAGACTGCAGGAGCCGAGGAATACAAAGTCCGACAAGGACTTGTTGTGGCACTGGTAACTCTAAAGGACACAAAAGATGAAACATGTTAGGCAGATGCCTTGCAGATCCAAGGACACTACAACTCACAATGAAGGAACGATTGTTCTGCGAAGCGATCCCCGCCTGCCAGAGACTGAGCTTGCCGTCGCCATCACCGATTCCGAACTTGTTGCCCTGCTCCGAGAATCGACAGCGCGTCACCTTGGCATAGGTGCCGGAGGTGCGGGGCGAGCAGACTGGCTGCTGGTGGCCCCACTCCCAGATCTGCACGGAGCCATCCTGGCCGCCAGTTAGGTAGAGCGGCATCAGGGGATGG